CTGATAAGCGAAATGTTCTTCTATAGGGTGTTCGATATCTTTATCCACTTAGCCATGGATCTATCTCATTGCAGTGGGAACGTGTCATTCTGGATTTCACGTTTTGGGCTAGTTTTTAGCCCGAAAATCCAAAGCAAATTGTCATTGGCTAAAGGACGGCAGAAAAAATGCCCCAAAACACGTTTCCAGCGCGCTGGCCACCATTTTTTTTTTTGTTCATTAGCCAAAACAAAAATTATTTATATAATACATATGTGTATCTGAAATTGGAGCCAAGTCGAAGACACGTACGCCTTCGGTTTGAAATAGTTAACTAATTTTTAATTTCTTGGCTGCTCTGTTATTTTTTGTTTGTTTCTTTTCTTTTTTTTTTGGCATGATCTCATCGAGCGAGTGTGTTTGTGAGAGGCGGCAGCCAATCCCACTTTGGCTCATTATGCGAGTATCTGTGAGATACATTTTCTGTGTGGAGCTTGCTGATGATGTGCTGCCCACTCGATCATCATGGTAATGATCGCCAAGAGCCCAGCCAACTGACCAGTGGGCCGAGATACTTTTGTATCTTTTTATTCCGCTCGTCTTTGCTCTCTGTCTTTTGATTTGCTGAGGTCCATTTTGACGGGCCTTGTGAGTTGGCGTTGTTAATGATCTCAAAAGACTTTTTCGACCAGCAACTGTATCACCGAAAAACAAAAAAAAATGTCGAATAATGATGAAAAAAAACCCTCTTCAAACTGATAATAAAAATTCCACATATATATTATATTTGTGTTCTCCACATAATATATATGTAAACGTTTCAAATTGATAAAAAAAAAACTTGACTTTGCAAAACTTCTTCAAAAAGATACGTTTCAAATTGATAAAAAAAACCCAAACCAAATTGCCCTCGTTTGAAATTTTATTTTATCGCAAAATAGAGGTCTTGTTTTCTAAGAAATATTAAATGGATTTCACAATAAATTTTAATGCCAAAATATTTGCAACAAAAAAGTTGTTAGATTCCGAAAAAATGATATATATTAAAGAATTATCTAAAGAAACAAGAACGTTTGTTATGAATTGTAAGCTTATATTGTACAAAAAAAATGTACAAGATGTTCAGAACCTAAGTTCTGATATTGAACTTATATTTTCTTATCAAAAACTACGATAGATAAAATATATTGAATGGGAATATATTTAAAACCCTACAAAAACTTTAAATGTGTAATGTATTAGAATTTACTAGAGAAGAATATATGAATCACTCAATATTAAAGACTGTCGTATTACTAGTTTTCCTTTATCGGAAATAATATGGAAAATTTCCTTTTTAATTCCAATGGCGGATATTAAGTGAAAATATTACATTTTTTTTTTGGGGCTGTGCGAATGATTCCAAATCCACAAGTTGAAGTCCTGAAACAAATGCTGGCCTTAAATGCGCAGCGACTGGGCACTTAAATTAAAACGCTGTGGCTTTTCTTTAGTCGCTGCCACTAACTAAGAGAGCAGTCGATGGATGGCTGATTGAGCGAGAGCGTGTGAGAAACACCCTGTGAAAGTATTCTCGACTCGATTATTATTATTTGCCGTTCCATTGGCACATTCGTATCTGTATCTCGGAATGCGAGGCGAAGTCGTCGTCGTCGTTGTTGTCGGACCCGAAGCTGTCTCTCCCACACAAACGCTGGCGAGTGCGAGCGAGAGGGGTCGAGAGTAGAGAGAGAGAGCGAGTGCCGAGCGGTTCGACGAACAGCCAACAACCCGAGTGCAACTTCAGAGCAACTTCAGTTCTTGAACGGATGTCGAAGGTGGTGGAGCTAACGTCGCTTGCTCGTGAATTTTGCCCCATATGAATAAAGCACCATACACTGGACCTTACTTGATCTTAAATCGCTCATACGCCGCGTTCTTTTTTTATCGCCCGCTGTGTAAAGGAAAAGGCGCGCAAAATACACAAAAAAGATAAAAATACGAATTTAAGAATAAGGAAAAACAAAACTAAAATTACTGATAGTCGCGTGGAATGAAAACAATGTACATATAGTTACGATATGCGCATTAATTTATCGCCCGTGCCAGAGCGACGATCGTGAAGTGCTCACAATTAATTGCCATTAATTCGCAAAGTGCTAAGAATTCTCGACGGTGTGTGAACTGCGAATGCCACAACTATATATATCCCAACAAGTGCGAATAGAGTTAATTAAAATACCGCAAGCAAATCAGGGATTTGGAAATATCACGCCCTCATAAGACCCCTCTGATACTAAAAACTTATCAATTGTCCAGCGGGCCATCCAATTGATTAGGACCCGCATCCAAAAACCAAAAATCATAAACCACAAAACAACGAAATTCTTTCCAATCTGACAGTGCAAAAATTAAAATATTCCCTTCTCGACCCAAAAATAAAATTACCAAAGTGAAGTGAAATCAATTTTAATACAACTGCAAGTACCACCAGCATAAGGGGACATTTATTTTATCAATTGAGAGCTGATCCCGCAGATTTCCCTAGTTTAGAGTCAATGACGTGCACTTTGACCAGCGAGGTGGAGTTTCCGTTTTTGAGTACCGATCATTTTGAAGCGAAGAAATGCCGCCCTCTGCGTTTTTAGTGAATGCCAGCATAATCAGTGCCGCCAACGCCTTGGACAGCGACAAGGAGCAGCAGCTTCAGGAGCAGCAGCAGCATCAGCATAACCATTTCACCAGCAGCAACAATAACTGCCACACGGCGCCCAACTACAACATGGTCCTGCAAAGCTACGAGAACTATCCCAGCTATCACCTGGCCCAGCATCATCATCACCACAGCCATCACAGCCATCCGCACCATCAACTGGGTCAGCAGGCACCGCTGCACCACCACGCGATGCAGCAGCATACACAGCAGCACCTGCAACACCCGCAACACCAGCAACATACCCACCAGCAACAACAGCAGCCGCAGCATCAGCAGCAGCAACACGGATACGGATCATCCCAGTTGCCGTCGCACCATCGATTGTCCGGCGGGAGTACGGGCAGCACCACCACCACCTCCTCCGGCTCCAGTTCGAGTGGCTCCTCATCGAGTGCCTCCTCGCAGGGATTCGCCGCCGCCGTCGCCGGCGGGAGCAGTGCGACCAATCTGGTGGGGGCCTTGAGCAGCTCCACGGCGGCGTCGCTGGGACTGGGATACTTCAATGACATGGCGCCCTTCGCGGGCGATGCCTACTACACGGACTCGGATATCAACTTCTTTAGTTCAGGTACAGGTCAGCAAATATTTACCGACATCAAAAACGGTGCTTTTAATTACGATTGCTGGGGTGTGAAAAGCAAAAGGCAGCAAACCAGAAGAAGATGCGGTGGCATAATTAAATTCGTAATTTGTTTTTAAGTGTTTGACACGCAACAAGTCGGGGTGGCTAAAGGGGATGGGGGTACACGCAGAAAAAAAAAAGGTTTCTTAAAAAATCTTAGTCGAATTTTCACAACATAATACAAATATAAAATGAATTAAATTAAATAATGTAATTTATAATCGTTACGATTAGTTTGAATATTACTTTCTTAAAACTAATTAAGTAAATTGGTATGTAACATCTTGCGTTCCAAATTGAATTGGTAGGACTCGAACTTATGAAAAGTAAGCTATCTATAGATAAAATTTTGTAGTTTCAATTATAATTTTTTATATATTTAACAAGCTTATTAGAATGCATTAGCGAATTATAATATGCATTTATTTTATTTTTTTCTGTTCTTTAATACCTTCTTAAATTGTTACAAATTATACTTATACCATGCCGCTTTTCTCTGGGTGTACCAGATTGACCTGGTGATAAGTGGCTTGTTGAGGGTTAGAAGATGCCCCGGCTAGCTGCCCCGGCTCAGATGTATCTGGTAGATACTCTCGCGCTCTCTGGAGGCGGCACCTAAAGAGGCGCTGCCAACTCTTTGGCCAGCCAACGGGGGGCTGTATCTGTATCTTTGTATCTCTGTATCTGCGGGCGAATGGGAAGCGAAACGAAGCGCTGGGAAAGCTTTTTATTTCTTTGCTGTGTGCAAGAGGGACGGCAATATAGCTGCGCATGTATACGTGGGTATGTGCCAACAGGTTTTCGTATCCCACAGATACAATACACGAGTGTTGTACATCGAAATGTGTTAAATTTCGCTGTATTCGCAATTAATGTAGCGTGCACACCATTAGATCGGGGTTGCTACGTCTGTGTGCGTGCGTATCTGTGTGCTTGGAAGTGTATATGTGTGTGTGCTGTGATTTTGATTGGTTTTCGAAGTCTTTCGCTCGATTGAGAGACGCCCCATTTCTATGAAAATCATTTAATTAAAATTGCGAACAATCTTTAATCGATGTGTTTTGGCGTGTGAAAAATGTTGATGGCCCAATTGAAATTGCTCATGGGAAATTTATGGCATTCAGATGCTAAATAATTTTCGAATTATAATTAAGAATTCTTAAACAACATTTTCTCTTTTACTATTTACATTTTTATTATTAAAATATCAAAAGCAATACTTATTTTGAATATACATTGCCAAAAGTCCGTTACATACAAAAAAATATTAGAGAGTTAGTACCATGTATTTTTTATCAGCTTATTTTTTTTTGCTTAAGAAAAAATTGGTAAATTTTTGAGTTCTAAGAAGTTTATCTCAGAAAATATTCTTAAGCTTTCATCACATGCAGAATCATAAAGGAATTTGAGACTTCTATAAAAACTACGTTCAGATTGATGACCGAATGCTGTGTGTATATTAAATATATTGTAAATTAAATTATTCCTTACTGCCTTAGTATAGACAACACAGTAGATTTAAATTAAATTATTATTATTATATATTTATAACTGTTAAGTGATCTGCTTTGATTTTTTAAATTGTTATGTCATATTTTAAGTGGGTTAACAGCTACCGATTATCCGATCTTCACCCATATCCATTGCACTATCCATGGCACTATCGAATCTAATCCAATTACCCAATTATCGTATTGCTTGCAGGCTACAACACCAGCAACACACACGACCGCAGCAACAACAGCCCGCCCCCGCAGCAGCAGCAATCGCAGCAGTCGACTGTCAATGGCAGCGGCGGAGGCAGCGCCAGCAGCAGCAGCAACAACAACAACTCCATGCTACCGCCCGCTGTCCAGCAGAACAACAGCAACAACAACGAAAACAACAACACCAGCAGCAGCACCACGAACAGCAGCAACAACACCAGCGGCAGCAACAATGCGAATGCGGGCAGCAATAACAACAATAATAACAATAATAATATCAACTATATGGCTACCATGGCGGCAATCTACCAACATCAGCTTAAAGAGGAGCCTGGCACCCAGAATGGGAGCATTGGATATGGCGGAAGTAATAGCCAGAACGATCCCACGGATCTGAGTAGTTATGGCTTACCCGCTCACCTGGCCGCCTACAGCGGTGTGAGTGGCAGTGGGCCATCGGGTGGCGGGAGTTCGGGAGGTGGTGGCGATGATAGCGATTACCACAACACGATCTCGGCGCAGGATCACCAGAGTCAGCCATCGAGTGGAGGAGGGAACGGGAGTGGAGGTGCAAGTGGCGGGAGCACCGGGAACAGCAATGGCTACCTGGACAGCAACGCGGAGTACTATGCCATGGGCAGGGGTCGCTTTCACAATGGATATTCGCCGGAATTTTCATTCGATGCGCAGTCCTTCCAGTCGATGGGTGCTCAGCCGACGGCCATGGATCAGTGGGGCAGCCATGGTCATCAGCATCCGGCGGCGTACATGAGCACCTTGGGCCTGGACAAGGGCCTGCTGGGTGGCTACACGACGCAGGGCGGAGTGCCGTGTTTCACGGGATCCGGTCCCATTCAGTTGTGGCAATTCCTGCTCGAACTGCTGCTGGACAAGACGTGCCAGAGCTTCATCTCGTGGACCGGTGATGGCTGGGAGTTCAAGCTCACAGATCCCGATGAGGTAAATACTATTTAACATTTATTCTGAAATCCCTTGTTCAACTTAATCTCTTCCCAAAGGTCGCTCGTCGCTGGGGCATCCGCAAGAACAAGCCCAAGATGAACTACGAGAAACTGAGTCGCGGACTGCGCTACTATTATGACAAGAACATCATCCACAAGACGGCTGGCAAACGATATGTCTACCGCTTTGTCTGTGATCTCCAGAATCTAGTTGGGTAAATTTCCAATTAATTTTCAATTTATAAAAGAATATAGAAGATTTTATACCTTTAAACCTTCAGTTAAAAAACTTTTATAATGATTTATTAGTAGCATTATAGATTAAATTTTAACGGACTTATGCTTACAATTAATAGAATCATACTAAGAAAAGCATTTATTTTAGCTGAAACTATATTGAAAATATGTTAATCAAACTATTCTCTTCAATTACAGGCACACCCCTGAGGAACTGGTGGCCAAGTACGATCTTAAGATTGAGAAGAAAGATGTGGATTAGCGGCGGAGCAGCGAAGAAGCTGCCTAAATCGGGAGCAGCTCCCGGAGACCTGCTCCCAGCCACGGATTGTACTCAACCAACCGCAAAATACTTTCGAGCGTTATTGTTTACCAAGCGTGATGTTAGCTTTTAAGCAGCAGCCTCCGATCTGCGATCTTGCTACGAGATTAAAGTGTTGGCCAACCCACCCACCATCCCCGAAGTCCCAAAGTCCCGATCATCCCACAAAACCCCACCCACCAACCTATCAAACCGATTTGCTTGTAATTATCGTGTAAAAATTAGACTTTTGAATTAATTTGAAATTAATTTAAAATACTTCAGAGTTAGAATTAAGACGATCTATAGCATCGTAAATCAAAGAGAAGAACAGCAAGAGAACCAGTTGAAGATGAAGCGAATTAAATTTGAAATTCTGTGTGCAATGCGATGATGATTCTTCGTTCTCACATAGTCTGTAAAAGATGTCTGCTGCAAGGATCGAACGTTGAAAGAGGCCATAAAGCATGTGTCCCCAAAGTGATATTAGAGCGCAACATTTTGTTATACTTACATAATCATTTTACCCGCACGGGGCACCAGAAACATTTCAAAATCATGCATGTAAATAGCGATGAAGATGTGTATGGCATACTTGTATAAGTAGGTCTCTAGTATTTATGTATAACCCTTAATCTGTGCTACTGGTACAACTAAGTTTTTCACTTCCAAGCCCCTATTTTCTGTACTTCTGTGCGCTTCCGTGCGATCCCAAAAGTTTTAAACGTAAAACGACACAATAGTTGATCATCTATCTGATGAACTCTTGTTATCGTCTACTATATGTATACTTATAGGATACCCTAGGCTCCATAGTTTTCCTAGTGCATTAAGTGCGTGCGTTAATCGATAGTTTAAGAAGTGTTTATTACCTTGTATGTGTGTGTATAGCTAATAGTTAATAGCTAACTACTTAAGTCTAGCTCGTAGATGCTTAGCCACGTATTACACGCATAAACATAACGTTATATTGATACATAGATACACATACATTTGTAGAGCAATTCTAAAATATTGTATTTATACAAGCGTACATCGTAATATTAAAGCTACCATTAACATTGCTAATGATAAAAACAATAAATGAAAACCGATATGAAAATACAAAAACTTAGTTCTCTCTGGGTGACTTATCACAGTGGTGAAGAGGAAAAATATATATCATATATTAGTAACAGAGTAAAAAGCTAAAACGTTGAAGCTTTCAAAATTATTATTAGGTTTAATTGGAGCTGCAGAATGTTTCGGAATCTGACCAAGCTCCTACACAAAATGCGCTGTCCAGGGCAAATTACATTCCGTCACGAACACAAGATGCCGGAGCACTTGAAAAGTGTCGAGACAGACAAGGACCCGGAGTTCTCGGCCATGGTGCTGTATTACTACCATAGGGCCGCCCAGACTATGGAACCAGAGCTGGTCAAGGAAATGGAAAAGTACCCACATATGAAGCCAGAGGAGCGGCAAGCACGCGTCTCTGCCATTCTCAACCTTTTGGGAAGCGTTTCCACCTCGGTGGAAGTTAATTTTCCCATTGTCCGCAAAAATGGCAACTACGAGATCATCAGTGGCTATCGCTCGCACCATGTACGCCACCGCCTGCCCCTGAAAGGCGGTAAGTAGCATCAATGGCTTATACACGCGAATTCTTTAGCAACAACGTTTTCATTACTATAACTATAAAAAAAAAACAAGAAAGGAAAGCTAACTTCGGGCGGAGCCGAAGTTGATATACCCTTGCAGAATACTCTGAAAATTATATTCTCCAAAATTATTCATATGATGCATTCTTAATACTCATCAAAAATCCCAACTTCCTAACTTTAAAAACACCAAAGTTATGGCATTTCCAATCGTTCAGTTATATGGCAGCTATAGGATATAGTAGGCCGATCCTTATGAAATTTAATAGGTAGGATTGATTGGCTAAAAATAAAACCCATAGAAAATCCCAACTTCCTAACTTAACAAACACCAAAGTTATGGCATTTCCGATCGTTCAGTTATATGGCAGCTATAAGATATAGTCGGCCGATTCTCATGAAATTCGGTAGGTCAGATTGATTGGCCAAAAATAAAACCTATAGCAAATCTCAACTTCCAAACTTTACAAACACCAAAGTTATGGCATTTCCGATCGTTCAGTTATATGCCAGCTATAGGATATAGTCGTCCGATCCCGGCCGTTCCGACTTATATACTGCGTGCAAAGGAAAGAAGGGTGTGTGCAAAGTTTCAGTTCGATATCTTTAAAACTGAGAGACTAGTTCGCGTAGAAACAGACAGACGGACAGACAGACGGACAGACGGACAGACGGACATGGCTATATCAAATCAGGAGGTGATCCTGATCAAGAATATATATACTTTATAGGGTCGGAGATGTCTCCTTCACTGCGTTGCACACTTTTGACCAAAATTATAATACCCTCTGCAAGGGTATAATAAAGACATTTAGTAGCGAGTGCATTAATATGCTAATAACAAGAAAGAAAAGCTAGGCGGGGCCAAGTTGATTGCAGAATATTCTGTAAATTATATTCTCCAAAATTATTCATATGATGCAATCTTAATACTCATAAAAATCCCAACTTCCTAACTTTAAAAACACCAAAGTTATGGCATTTCCAATCGTTCAGTTATATGGCAGCTATAGGATATAGTCGGCCGATCCTTATGAAATTTGATAGGTTGGATTGATTGGTTAAAAATAGAACCCATAGAAAATCCCAACTTCCTAACTTAACAAAAACCAAAGTTGTGGCATTTCCGATCAATCAGTTATATGGTGGCTATAGGATATAGTCGGCCGATCCTTATGAAATTTGGTAGGTCGGATTGATAGGCCAAATATAAAACCCATATAAAATCCCAACTTCCTAACTTCACAAACACCAAAGTTATGGCATTTCCGATCAATCAGTTATATGGCAGCTATAGGATATAGTCGGCCGATCCTTATGAAATTTGGTAGGTCGGATTGGGTGGCCAAATATAAAACCCATATAAAATTCCAGCTTCCTAACTTAACAAACAGCAGAGTTATGGCATTTCCGATCAATCAGTTATTGGGCTATGGATAAGTCGGCCGATCCCGTTCCGACTTATATACTGCGTGCAAAAGAGGGGTGTGTGCAAAGTTTATTCGATATCTTTAAAACTGAGAGACTGGTTCGCGTAGAAACAGACAGACGGACAGACAGACGGACAGACGGACAGACGACGGACGGACAGACGGACTGACGGATGGCTATATCAACTCAGGAGGTGATCCTGATCAAGAATATATATACTTTATAGGGTCGGAGATGTCTCCTTCACTGCGTTGCACACTTTTGACCAAAATTATAATACCCTCTGCAAGGGTATAAAAATAGAACTTCGGTAGATGAATAGCTGGATTGGATGGATTTTTATACCCTTGCAGAGGGTATTATAATTTTGGTCAAAAGTGTGCAACGCAGTGAAGGAGACATCTCCGACCCTATAAAGTATATATATTCTTGATCAGGATCACCTCCTGAGTTGATATAGCATGTCCGTCTGTCCGTCTGTGTTGTCCGTCTGTCCGTCTGTCTGTCCGTCTGTCTGTCCGTCTGTCTGTCCGTCTGTCTGTTTTCTACGCGAACTAGTCTTCAGTTTTAAAGATATCGAATTGAAACTTTGCACACACCTTTCTTTTCCTTTGCACGCAGTATATAAGTCGGAACGGCCGGGATCGGCCGACTATATCCTATAGCTGCCATATAACTGAACGATCGGAAATGCCATAACTTTGGTGTTTCTTATTAGGAAGTTGGGATTTTCTATGGGTTTTTATTTGGCTAATCAATCCGACATGCCGAGTTTCATAAGGATCGGACTATATCCTATAGCTTCCATATAACTGATTGATCGGAAATGCCATAACTTTGGTGTTTGTAAAGTTAGAATGTTGGGATTTTCTATGGGTTTTATATTTGGCTAATCAATCCGAAATGCCGAATTTATAAGGATCGGCCGACTATATCCTATAGCTGCCATACAACTGATTGATCGGAAATGCCATAACTTTGGTGTTTGTAAAGTTAGGAAGTTGGCATTTTCTTGGGTGTTATATTTGGCCAGCCAATCCGACCTACCAAATTTATAAGGATCGGCCGACTATATCCTATAGCTGCCATATAACTGAACGATTGGAAATGTCATAACTTAGGTGTTTTTAAAGTTAGGAAGTTGGGATTTTTATGAGTATTAAGAATGCATCATATGAATAATTTTGAGAATATAATTTACAGAGTATTCAGTAATTTCGGCTCCGCCCGAAGTTAGCTTTCCTTTCTTGTTATTCGATAATATTTTATATAATTCTTAAGTAATCCTAGTGTTTTTGCCTTTTTCATACAGGAATCCGGTATGCTCTGGACGTGAATGGGAACGAGGTAAAGGCCCTCGCCGCCATCATGACTTTCAAGTGCGCGTGCGTAAGTCTCCCATACGGAGGATCTAAGGGCGGAGTCTGCATCGATCCAAAGGAGTATACTGTGGATGAGCTACAGACGATTACGCGACGCTATACAATGGAGCTACTTAAGCGCAATATGATCGGACCTGGGATCGATGTTCCCGCACCCGATGTGAACACTGGTCCACGGGAGATGGCTTGGATTGTGGATCAGTACCAGAAAACGTTTGGCTACAAGGACATCAATTCCTCCGCAATCGTCACTGGAAAGCCAGTTCACATCGGCGGCATTAACGGTCGTCACTCGGCCACGGGAAGAGGTGTGTGGAAGACGGGTGACCTCTTCCTAAAGGATAAGGATTGGATGGATCTGATTAAGTGGAAGACTGGCTGGAAGGACAAGAGGGTCATCGTACAGGGCTTCGGCAATGTGGGCTCCTTTGCCGCAAAGTTTGTGCACGAGGCGGGGGCCAAGGTTATTGGAATCAAAGAGTTCGACGTTTCTCTTTATAATAAGGACGGTATCGATATCAATGTAAGTGAAACTTCCATCTATGAATATAACAACCTTTAACACCTTAAATTTAAAGGATCTTTTCAGTTACAAAGATGAAAAGAAATCCATTAAAGGATACCCCAAGGCTGAGGAGTCAAAGGAGGAGCTTCTGACGGCCGACACCGATATCCTTATGCCCTGCGCCACCCAGAAGGTGATTACCAGCGAGAATGCCAATGACATAAAGGCCAAACTTATTCTGGAGGGTGCCAACGGACCCACCACACCCGCTGGCGAAAAGATCCTGTTGAAGAAGGGCGTGCTCCTCGTACCCGATCTCTATTGCAACGCTGGCGGGGTAACTGTCTCGTACTTCGAGTACCTAAAGAACATTAACCATGTGTCATACGGCAAGATGAATTCGAAAACCACCTCCGAATTGATCATCGAGCTGATAAACTCAATCAACGAGTCCCTGCAGCAATGCGGTGATAGCTTCGTAAGTCAATCCTTAAAAGTACTTAATTTGCTCTATTTCTTTCAATTCTTTGCCCCTTCAGCCTGAGATTAAGGCCAATAAGAAGCTAAAGAGGATTCGGGAGTGCACCACGGAGGCGGACATCGTGGATGCAGCTCTCCAGACTGTAATGGAATCTGCAGCTCTCGGAATCAAGCAAATGGCCAACAAGTTCGAGTTGTGTAATGATCTGCGACAAGCTACTTATATCTGGTCCGCCTTAAAAATATTTCAAGCCATGGAAAGCTCTGGCATTTCTCAACAGTGACCAAATTTATGTTTTATAATTTTTATAGTTTTTAAATTACTTATATTATATTAATAAAATAATTATTAAAAAAAAAATTACGAAGCATAACGAAAAATGTTATCAAATCTATTAGTTCTTAGTTTTAGAAAAGCAGAATAACTCGCCGATTAAATGTAGGATTCTTTTCTTAAAATGTTTAGTTCGAATATAAATAAGCATAGGCCTTGAATTAAAACTCATATCTTAGTAAACGATTCGATTGAACAAACATTTATAAATTCATTCAATTCGTAAACACAACACCCAAATAAGAATACATATCTTGCTTGTTTGCGTTTGTACCAACTCACCATCCACATAAACATCCTTAATTGGTTAAAAATTATAGAAACCATTTGCCATGGAGGAAATCAAGAAGTTCGACAAGCTTGCATTTCTGGAGGGCTACCTGCTGAAGCACAAGGAGCTAGGTAAGCGACAGCGCGAATACAAGAAGATCCTGTCCAGCAAGCTCAAGTCCCGCAAGGAGACGATCATCGAGGCCAGCTTTGAGACGGCCATTGACCAGCTGGAGGAGGAGAAGAATGACCTGCGGGCTCAGATCTGGGTGGCCAGTGGCACGACTCACAAAAAAGAGAACAACCGCTGGCTGGAGCTGATCCGTTGTCATGTCGAGTGCCAGGAGAACCTCTCCCAGGACATTAATGCCTTCAAGACGTCCATCTCCAATATGGAGAAGGAAATCAGTCGCATGGATAAGCAGATCTATAGTCTCAATCGTCTGACCATCCCGGACCAGCAGCATATTGCATACGTGATGAATGCCCGGAAGAGGATGACCATACTGGAGAACTCCCTGGAGGTGGGTGTGCGCCAGGAGTGTGGTTTCACGGCGGCCAATGCCGATTTGCGGGAACAGCTAATCCGCATCCTGAATCACCGCACCTTCTTCAACGATTCATACACCAAAATGGTGCAGAAACTCAACAGTGACAAGAAGTATTTGATAGATCTCATCGAGTACGCCCTGAATACTTTTGATGGCTGCATTGAGGTGTACGAGAAGATCGACATGTTGGCCAAGAGGGAGGCCAAGGAGCGCGAACTGCGACGTGTGGAAATGCAGGGCATTATGCGAAAGGTGGCCGCCGATGGGGACAACACCGCATTCCTGAATTGCAAATCAAAGGCTCGGGAGTTGGCCGATTTGCAGCCCAAGGAGTACAGGCGAAGGGACGAGTTCCGACGAGTGCACAATAAGAAGATCAACCTGTACAACTCGGTGCTGCAGAAGATCCTCCAGTACACGAACTCCAACAATGTGGACGAGGTGATCGACAAGTTCCAGCAGCAGGAGAGTCTCTACTACTCGTTCTTCAACTATGCCAACGAAATGAGCTACCACATCACCTTGCTGAATAACTCGGTGAACCGCCTCTTTGAGGATATAGTGGCACTTAAAAAGGATAACACCAATACGCTGCAGGACCAGCTGGATCAGATCGCCCTTCTGGAGAACAAGGTGCGCAACAAGCAGGAGTCCAACATGGAACTGCACAAGGCCCGGGAGAGTAACGATGCCCGGTTGGAGAATCTTCTTCAGGGCGTGGAGACAGTCTGCGAGATGTGCTCCATCGATGCCAGTCCGCTGAGCAAGCTCTTGTCAGACCACACCCACGTCAATCTGGTCAATGTCGTTCGCTTCCTCAAACTGCTCGAGGTGAGGGTCCTGGAACTGACCGCCAGTGTTTATGTGATGGAGCGCCAGGAGGAGGGTCGCTTCGACTATGTGGTCAAGCAGATCGAGAAGATCTGCGAGCTGCCCACCGATCTCAATGATATTGTGCTCACCCAGCAGTGTCCCGAGTGCGCCGAGGGCGAGGCCTTCAACATGGACGAGGGCGGCGACGGGGTGCTCGTCCACACCGTCAAGGAGGCCAAGAAGAAGCTCTACGAGAAGGTCACGCAGCCGGAGATGCAGTACCGCCTGCACAGCATCAGCCAGTGCCGCCTGCCGCGATCCCGCCTCTTGGCCGCCAAGCGCAATATGTAGACTTCCTCCTCGTCCATTTCGCTCTGGAATCTTATCCAGATGCCCCAAGGATATTTCGGTTTCCATTTCGATATGTGCAACTTTCCTAGTTCGAATTTCTAGCTTAACAATCACTAATTTCGGTTATAATTAAGATAAATTAACGATTACAATTAAGACAAATTAACAATTCATCTGGATAAAATAAATTTAAAAGCTGATCATCATTTGTTTGTATAAGGCAATGGGTATGAGTAGATAAAAGAAATAACTAACGTGAAAATTGGTCTAAAATTTGATCACCGATAAAGCGACAAATTTGAATGCAGATTTTTTGAGAATCGATCCACAAGTCATTAGAGGTATGTCACTTTGAAATCGGTTTAAATTTGGTAAAGTTATGGATTCAGGAAGTCCAGTTGGTGGTGCCCTTTTAACAAGTCATCGGAAAACCTAAAAATAACTAACATGAAAATGGGTCAAAAATTTGATCAACGATAAAACGACAAATTTGAATGCAGATTTTTTGAGAATCAAACCACAAGTCTTTAGAAATATGTCACTTTGAAATCGGTTGAAATTTGGTAAACTTATGGAATTTGGAAGTCCAGTTGGTGGTGCCCTTTTTATAAGTCATCGGAAAACTTAAAAATAACTAACATGAAAATGGGTCAAAAATTTGATCAACCATAAAGCGACAAATTTGAATGCAGATTTTTTGAGAATCGAACCACAAGTCTTTAGAGGTATGTCACTTTGAAATCGGTTGAAATTTGGTAAACTTATGAAATTTGGAAGTCCAGTTGGTGGTGCCCTTTTTACAAGTCATCGGAAAACTTAAAAATAACTAACATGAAAATGGGTTAAAAATTGGATCAACGTTAAAGCGACATATTTGAATGCAGATTTTTTAAGAATCGAACCACAAGTCTTTAGAGGTATGTCACTTTAAAATCGGTTTAAATTTGGTAAAGTTATGGACTCTGGAAGTCTAGATGGTGGTGCCCTTCTTACAAGTCATCGGAAAACCTAAAAATAACTAACATGAAAATGGGTCAAAAATTGGATCAACGTTAAAGCGACAAATTTTAATGCAGATTTTTTAAGAATCTAACCACAAGTCATTAGAGGTATGTCACTTTGAAATCGGTTTAAATTCGGTAAAGTTATGGACTCTGGAAGTCTAGTTGGTGGTGCCCTTTTTACAAGTCATCGGAAAACTTAAAAATAACTAACATGAAAATGGGTCAAAAATTGGATCCACGTTAAAGCGACAAATTTGAATGCAGATTTTTTAAGAATCTAACCACAAGCCATTATAGGTATGTCACTTTGAAATCGGTTTAAATTTGGTAAAGTTATGGACTCTTTAAAGTCTTTTGTCATTTTGAAATCATCCGAAATTTGATAAAGTTATGGAATTTGGAAGTCCAGTTGGTGGGCCCTTTTTACAAGTCATCAGCAACTTACAAACAACTAACATGAAAATGAGTCAAAAAGTTGAACAACGTTGAAATGACAAATTTGAATGCAGATTTTCGGAGAGTCAAGTGCGGAGAGGCCTGTCCGATTGTGATGCTGATCAAGAATTTATATACTTTATAGGGCTGCTGCGTTGAAAATTTTTTACTGAAATATAATACCCTTTTCAAGGCTATAATCACATTGGTATTTTCAATTCATGCTAGATTTTATTAATTAACGACTAATCATATCAGCTAAAGATTCAAATATTGGTGCTAGATGTTTGGTATGTGAGATGCATTAAATATTTTCGAGCGTGTGTGATCGTACGAGCTAGTAGATTCTGCGGCCAAGTCCTTTTTAGGAGCTGGTGTCCTTTTTCTCATCTCCCAGACCCAATCCGCTGATCAGGCCTCCTAGGAAGCTGTCCACGATGGGATTGCCACTGCCAGCAGCGGCTCCAGGAGCGGGAACAGGAGCAGGGACACTCGGAGATACCGGAGCAGCGTTGGCAGTTCCACAGTCGTACATGCGGTTCAGCTTCTGGATGTCAAAGTCAGAGAAGCCATTCCGTTGACCCATTTTGTCGGCTCCATTGGCTTGCTGTAAATAAAATAATCTGTAATAAAATAAAGGTAGTGACATTCTTGTACTCACCATGGCCAGAATGGTGGGCTGTCCGTTGATGGAGAAGGCGTTCTTTGAGTAGTGCATCACGCTGCCGTAGTCGTAGGGAACTCCAAAGGCCTCGGTGCGGGCGGCCTTCTCGAAGTTGTTCATTGCCGAGGACTGGACATTATTGTACTGGATGGCCACATAGCCATCGCGCTCCATGCGATTCTGTTCGTGCAGGAAGCCCAAAGCGTGCATCAGCTCATGCATGGCGGTGCCGGGACGGCTGAGGCAGCCGGGAGATTGCAGATTCACCTCCTGCTTGCCACCAACGCGACCCACCGATGACCAGCAGCCGGACTGGTCGCTCCGTATGGAGATGTAATCCCGCTCAGAACTGCGCCTCACAAACCGAATGCACGTGCGACGATGGTACTCGGCAATGGCATTCTCGATGGTGGCCATGTCCTTGGCATTGAAGCTGCCACGGATCTCGTAGGGCACCACGCCATTGGGCCAACGCGATGATTGGGTGGGCAGGCCATTCTTCATGATCAGATCCGTTTGCGGCACCAGCATATCACCCTCCAAGTAGCTGCCCAGTTCCTCAGGATTCATTTCGTCCGCATCGGCACTGAAGTTGCCCACTCGGTTGGCTGTCTGCTCCTCATCCGGTTTGCCAAAGAGAGCCGTGCCCAGCGGCGTAAGATCGATGATGTCCTTACCGAGAGTGGGTGGTGCCTCCTCGATGCCATTTCCAGGCAGCTCGATGACCTCCGTGTCATCTGCATCATCGTAGGACACATAAGGAAGCGCCTGGCAGACGGTTACAGCCAAAGCTAGGAGTATAAATACTTGTTGTTTCATTGTTGCCATTGGTTTTCCTTTGGATTGTTGGATTGCCTCTTGACTGAATGGCTGGATTTCAACTGTGCTGTGTTCTGGCCTGGCCGGGATTTATATACTCTCCAGCATATTCTCGCCGCCGACACTTTATCAAACTTTGCCGTTGGCGGTGGCTTTTATATGCATAAACATGTTTTCCGCGCCGAAAACCTTCGGCGGAGCTGCAATCGTCATCGCTGGCTTCTTGGATTGTCACACGCTTTATGGCCGGGCAAATATTTGGGCAGCGCTCTCGTTAAGCGGTTATTCATGGGGCTGTGTCTGCTGTGCTATTGCTATAAAGTGTATCAGTAGTTTGTTTGCATATCCAAAGTTTAACGACACTTATACGTAATTTTTCGCCCCCAAAGCGATAACCGATAAGCACTATCGCGTCGACCTCTTCGCTTTATGGATTTATACCGCCTGCTGGGCGAAGATATTCCGGAATAATTTGCAGGCTATTTAGAGTGGAAAGACACGCGGAACACTTAAATTATTCATGTTTACGGAACTCCAAGACACGCGTAACAAGTGAAACCAAATGGCATTGAAAGGTTCAGATTTTAGAAGCCAAAAATTTTGGAGTACGTGCTTATTTAAGGAAGCAAACTATTTTGGTTACTGTTTGGTTACAAGTTTAGTTCCTTGCGGAGACTAAGCTAGCTTTAATTACAACTATAGTTTATAAGCTACAGAATGATTGAGATAACTTGATTGGGACCTTTCTTGGCTGGCCCGCACAATTATGATTCAAATGAGACTTTTGCACATTCTTAAATACTAAATGTTATTCACATGGCGGCTACTTCAATTGATGGTGGGAAAAACAGGGCTGAAAAATCCCAAGACTCTGCTCATTAGCCAGAGCAAAACAGAAAAGTACAGATCGAGCATAAACATCTGTGTTTGCTTTGGCCACGAATTAAGTTCAAGTGCATGATACTTGTTTGCCTGGCTAATGATCGGAGCTAACCTGTATGATTGTTATAAGTTAAGGTAAATATTTTCTAGGTATCGAAACTCATTTCCACCACCATGTTGGAATCAGAGTTGGCGAACTCCTCCTCCTCGTCGAACTTGAGCTTCATCCCATTAAATTTGTCCGAGTTCATCACACGACGACTATTGGCAGTGATGTTCTTGGCCACATCTCGTAAGGCGGCGCTGCAGATCTCATCGATCGTAGCCGGGTCGTCCATTAGGTCCTCGATGCAGCTCTTAAGGATGGTGGATGTCACTATACAGTCTCTGTTCAGAGCCAAGCTCTTGTGGAAGGCCTCGATGGCGGGGTCAAGATTTCCAAGCAGGGCGTGTATAAATCCTATGGATGTGTATGTCGTGGGATTCTGCGGCTTTAAGAGCAGGGCCTACAAAAATAAAAAGGTTAATAATCAAGTGGCTTAACTTTTAAAATGAAGTCTTACATATTGAAAGTTGTACAGCGCCTCCTCATACTTGTGGATCTTGCGTAGTGAGTGACCCAGATTGATAAAAAGCGGTTCCCAGCGAGCAGAGATCTCCTCGTTGTTGGTCTTGGCCCGCTGTTTCACAATATCGACGGTGCATTGGAAGATGGTGGCGGCGCCGTCGAAGAACTCGTACTCATACTTAATCACACCAAGCTCATGAAGAACATACACATCCAACGGCGCTATATTCATAGCCTGCAGGAAAAACTTCTCGGCCAGCTCTAGGTTTTTGGTTAGTCCACACTCCACACCGATGTAGAGCAAAGGCAGATGACATCCCCGCATCAGTTGTGTGGCCTTAAAGTAGGCCGCCATCGCCTGCTCGTGTTCGTTTTCATTGGCGAAACTGTGGCCGTACGCCAGCCAAGCAGGGCCATAAAGTCGATCCAGGGCAGTGGCCTTGGAGAGATATCGCCTAGCGGGATCGCTTTTGCCTATCATGTCGTAGTAGCAGCCGACGGCGTACCAGGAAATCGCCTTGTCCGGATAGCGATCCACCAGCTTATGGGCCACGTAGAAGAGACGGTTGAAGTCACCATTTTCCACCAGGCAGGCAATTTGAATGGTAAGCGCGTTGTTATGGAAAGGATCCACTTTAAGCAGTCTGTGTAATAAATAAATGTGTTACAAAAAATATACATTTAATAAATTTTCTATATATAAAATCGCATACTCGTTTAATATTTTCAGGCACTGTTTGTAGTCGCAGTCGTAGAAACACTTCTCCGCCTCGGAGGCCATCAAATCCGTGCTGCGTTGTACTCGGTTCAAGCAATCCCCGAGAGCAATCAAGGTGTCTGTGTCGTGATCTCTTGATCGCCTTCTGCTGGAGGAGTCAAACATCGACCGATGGGAAGCATCAACAAGTGAGGAGGCCTTGGAGAGACTTGTTTGCAGTGAGAAAGTGGGTGCCTTTAAATCCTCCAGTACTCTAAGAAAGAGAAAAATGTATGATTTAATACAGAATATTGGAAAAATCGATTGGACTCACTTTCGAGCGGGCGACATGAAATGACTGGGCGTAAGCGACACCTTGAGTGTGCTTACTTTGGGCAACTGGGAATCTGAGGTACCAGTCTGCTGCACTCGGGCCGTAAATTCCTTAATAAACTTCAGTGCGTCAGGATTAACAATGGGGGAGATTTCCTCAGCGTTACGAGCCGATATTAACTCGTAGTATTTCTTTAGCCGCGACTCGTAGAGTTTTAAAATAAACTTGGCGTCCGTTTCGCTGGATTGCTGTGCCAGTGGCAAATGATGCATCAGTTCGAACTCTGCAAGGAAGAGGCTCATTTTAGGGTCTTGAAAAATAAATACCGTGCTTACCCTCCCACGCCATCAGCATTTCGTGCTGAACCAGAGCCTCCAAGGCCTCGAAACAGTAAATGGATTTGTGGAGAGCCTGGACATAAAAGTCCATGGCCATGCCGCGATTGTCCATGGCCTCGTAGACCTTGCCCTTCATCAGGTAAATGGATGATAACAACTCATTTCGATGGTTTTCTTCGCCACCAAAAACGCTGTTGCTCTCCAGGTAGCAGCCACTGCCGGCGTCCACGGGCTGATTGATCAGCGACGTAGTCATCACCTCCACCTCCACGTTCTGAATGACATTGGCCGCCTCTGTAAGCTCCTTGGCCGCATAGAGGCTCTCCAGGAGCAGGTTAAAACACGGCAGGGAGTTCTTCTCCAGCTTGTGGTGCTGTATGGTGTGGGCAGCGCGATGGTACTCCCCCAACAGGAACATGCACTGCGCCTGGTAGTATATATCTCGGGGCTCCTGACCACTGAGCACGGACACCTTTTCTGCCCAGAACAGTGCCGTGGAGTAGCGTCTCTAAAAGTGTAATTTGATTTTCAGTTGACTCCGTTTGCCGGCTTTTTGTTTTCGGCTCTTACCATGTCTATAAACTGTTTGACCAGCTGTCGGTACAGGGCCAAATCAATGTGGTCATTGGTGGTATCGGTACTGCTGTTTTCCGCGTCGCCTGGCATTTTAATTCAGCATAAACCGTGTTTTTTAATATTAAATTGTTAAAAGTTTTCTGTCGCTTGTAAGTAACTTAAGTGAATAGATCTGGCAACGCTGAACAAACAGCTGGTCTTGTCATTCTCTGGAAACCGTTGATAATGCACTGCGAGAAACTGGGGTGGTTTTGTAGAGGGGAAAATAAAAATTACAGTGCTTCCTCTAAAAATGCGAACTGTCAATTTTAATAACTTTTCATAAAAAAGAAAGATTATTCCTTTTCGTGTTAAAATAATTTGATTAATTACAAATTTATAGGTATGTATATTTTTGTGTTCAAAACTCAACATTACAAATGATACTTACTTCTATTTCTATAATTGTTTGTATATTCGTGGATAAAAGGATTTTATTTTGATATAATAACATTACGTCTTTTTTTCTATTGATTGACCAACATACATATTTCCAAAGGTGAAACGTGATTTTCTACAATATAAAATTGAACTCTTTTTCAACAGTTTTATTTCCCTTTTTAGAAAAAAAAACCGGAAGCTCTGTCGAACAAAAGAGAGCGGGCTAGTTCGAGAGAGCGGTTGTACAAGGTTCGGTCGCCGGAGCCTTCGAAAGTCTATTTAAGCAGCGTTGTAGGCCGTGGCTTGCCCACAATATCAAAAAAATCCCGACAAAAATCTGAGAATAAAATATCACGGGATGATATTTAGTTTCTTGTATTAATTTGTGTTGCCCCGGCAAAGTTCGCAGAAAATTAAAGCTAACGTTTTAGCCAAATTAAAACGCCGCCCCATTCAGCAATCGAAATATTTAACAATCAAAATAGTTTAATAGTAAAAAAAATGCATCAGTGACTGGGAAGTTTCGGCGAAATAGCAGAGGAAGGAAGAGAGACGGCAAACGTTAAAGGGCGTGCAAGGCAAAAGTAACTGTTCCTTTGACGGCGTGTGTGCGAGTGTGTGTAAAAATGTGCTTGGCGGACGACAAAAGAAACGGGAAGCGATTGCGGGTGTGGAATTAAAATTAAATTCACACGAATTTATGCGCGAGGCGCGTGTTTTTGCGAATCCTTGGTATGTATTGGTATTTGCCGGCACAACAAATTGTTGACTGGAAAAATCAGGCAATGTGTAGAATAGTTCCTAGAAAAGCAGGGCAGCGGCTCATTTGACGTTCTCTCATTCTCACCGTGCGCATTTTACAACTTTACAACTACACACTACTAGTATATCCTGTTGGTTCCTACTTTTTTTGCTATTGCCTTTGGCTCACGTCATCTCCTCAAAAACAACAAAAAAAAATCGCCTCCTCAACTACACAAGAAAAAAAAGAAACTCGATATGCGCAGGTCATATTATTTTGATTTGTTATTATTGTTTGATTGGTGTGAATTATATATTTTCTCTCCTAAAATGGCATAATAACAGAAGTTCAGGCAATATTATAATTTCAAGCTACATTTTTAGAAATGTTCAGTTCCAAAAATTATAAGTAAATTACTGAAACTGATCATCAATTAAAACAATTTTCTTTCCGTGCACGCATTTATTCTTACTACCCATTATTCTACGCACAGAGAGAGAGAAGGAGAGAGTGGAGAGAGAGAGCGAGACAGGGCTTGGCTCCATCTCCATTTTACAACTCCAACTTCGCTGCCGCTGCTCATTTCATGCTGATTTATGGCTCTAATAATAGGTTCGCTCAACACACAGCTTCCGAAAGGATTACCACCCAAAAGGATAATGCATAGTTTGTGTTATTGGCGACCATAAAAGGGGACTTTTAAAGTAAACGACCCAGGATTACAGTTAATTACAGTTAGCCGGGTCCAGCGAGCAAGTGGGATAGAGAGAAAGAGAGGGATACGCCTTGATCGATTTACGGCATTTAACGCTCAAGTGCGTACGCGTGTGTTTTCTTTAAACTCCAGTGATTTGGAAACTACAAAGAGTTGGTAGTACCTAATTATTAATTGAAGCTTATGATATTTTCAGGCCTTTAGAAATTTACATCGTTGACGAGGCGGAATAATGAATCGATGACTATTTGCTGCTGATACGGCCACATCTGCCAGCTGTCTTGGTTGTCCCCCCTATCACTCACACACTCGCGTTATCCTGTGGAGCCCAAAGAACAATAACAACAAAAACCAGACTCCTTGCCCGAGGCTTAGCTTGTCAGTCTAACTCCAACCACAGCCAACTCGAACTCCAACTCAAACCGCAGACAACTGCAACCAAAAAAGACTGCGCAGGAGAGAGAGAGAAAGAGAGTGCGCGAAAGGACTCTCCACCGGCTGTGGAAGAGGAAAAGAGAAGAAAAGGACGAGAGGCGGAAGTGGTGACATCTGTTTTGCCGCTTTGTCAGTGTGCGGATGCTCCTGCCAAAGGCGAACGAACACGAACGAGCACGAACGAGCAAGGAGCACAACGTGAACAAGTGTGGAAATTGGAATTTTTATTCAAAACAATGCCCCTGCTGCAACAGGTATGTAAATAATAATAAAACCCATTCGCACTCCAGAGCGGTAATTGAAACGCTCACGTACGACTGGAGTCGCAGAGAGAGAGATAGGGAGAGAGGGAGAGAGCGTCATCAGCTGGTTTTTAACTTACCTACCCAATTGGGATTCGTGAGTGCCTGGCCCGGGATGATCCTAATAAGATTAGAGCCCAACTTTACGCCTTAATTCTGGGAGTTTACCACCTAACCACCTACCTCCCCCTCCCTTCCGCCCACGTCTGTTGCACATTATGAGTAGTTAAATTCGATTAAACTTGCGGCGTTTTGTGCGCCAGACTCTGCTGCGCCTCCTCTTCGTCCTTGCTGCTGCCGGTTGTGCGTTTAATTGTACTCTTTGTTGCGCAAAATAGTTGCGTGATTTAATTTTGCTCGCCTTTATATGTTTTTTAATTCACTTAAATGAGATAATTCGATTAGGACACTCCGAGGGACAAAAAAGCGCTGGTCGCAGAGCGTTGAGAAAAACAGGGAGCTTTGGCGAATCAGGACGAACAGCGTAAAGTGGTTGCACTGTTTTAGAAAGGCTACACGGCTAATGCTTTGTATCTCTTGAAAACATATTGGTTAACAAGGTTCAAACCTTTTAAAATTAAATATTATGTTTATATTATTTTATTTTATTTTGTTGTATTAAGTAGGTACCACTGAAGGTGTGAAATCTGTCTTATAAAAATATATCAGAACTAAAAGAGTAAAATAGATAAATTTAAATGTTAATACTCCTTTAGAATGCATATTTGTAATAAGTTTCAGAGAGATTTGAACGCTGTAAATTTTGTTTTTAAGTTCAGATTTCTATTTATAATACTCTTAGCAATCAGAACATCTTATTAAGACAATTATTAGACGGAATTTCGCCCTCTACATTCCAAATGATTAATTGTCCCGTCATGAAGTTTTTTTATTCCCAGCAAAATTAATTATGCTGCCTGACAATCCACTTCACATCAAATCAATACACATCAAAATTATGTCAGATGCGGCAATTGCCCTTCACCTCCACATGCGAATTATAATCATTACAATATCCTTTATGCTGATACGCACATGCTAACCAACCCGACCATTCAGCCCATGTCCCGACCCCAGACTTGATTTAAGCGATCCAAAAGCGACTGTCAATATGTGTGACAGGTTTTTTAAGACGCTTTCCCCCGACGGAGCACTTGGTCCCATTGTTGGCTGCGTCTTCGCCACCCGTTTGTATCCTTGCCACGTCTTTCGCCTTCGCAAAAAGTTGCTCATTGTCGACTGTGACAGGAGACCCGGACCCGTCTATTGCTCATCATTCAGGCATTTGACGACAAACGACGCACAGGGGTTGAGGAAAAGCCGCCTTGACTACGTCAATGGATTGGGGATGGCTTTCAAGGAGGCGGAGATGGAGGTGGTGTGTCCTGTGCTGCATCCGTGGCCCGAGTTGGCTGACAATGGAGCTGAGCATTTGTTACAATGTTTACACAAATATTTAAGGATAATCCGACGATTTCAAAGGGGTTATTATGCAATTTTTCTTCTCATTTTATTGTGGTTGCCAGCAGCGCCAGCAAAATGGTAGAAAAAAAGATCAAAATAGACCCATCTGAATAACTAAATGCAAAATGTCAATTTCGTCGTGTAAGCAGAGTATATCCCCCTTGGTGTATTGCTGTACATTCATATTTATTTGCTGGTAATGTCTAAAATGCGTCTACTTCATGCCAACGTGGCGTGTACTTAATGTCCTTCCCCCTTTCATATTATTTATATTTTTTGCATTCATTTCCATTGCGCCATTGCCCGCTGTTTAAAATGCCTATAAATAATGTGGGGGGTCACAACGGAAAATTTGTCGGTCATAAGAAATGCTGTACATTTTATTTGCCATTTTAAGCTGTGGGATGTGTGATGTCCTTCTCTGCATACGAGCATATTCACATTCATATCCTGCTGTGACATCGTTTCGTAGAGCATTTTCTTTATTGTCCTTCGCTCAGCGTCCGTAGAAGATGATAGTCCAAGTGGAGTTCAGTGCAGGTCATTCCATCAATTGCTCCGGGGAGTTGTTAAAAGGATGTTTTTTCCTAAGACAGCAGAGGTTCCTTTGTAGCCAGCTGTCTGGATCGATTTCTGCCTGAATTTATATTTAAATAAGTAGATCTAAATATATTTTGGGCATAATTCGAATGATATAATAGCTTTTCGAAAAAATGAGTGATTGAAACTGAATCGGATGATTTTCTGGTGATTCAAACAGATATTGTTCTTGAAAATATAAAAGATAAAACTGAACATTATAAAAAGCGAAGATACTTTGGTTGATTTGGCAAACAATACGATACGGAACCAAAATTCATAATGCTTTTCAATTTATAAACTACCTGTTGCACGAATCAAAATCCCATAAACAATATGCTTAATTGCGTAATTAAGCGTATACTTGGCCACTCTCCCTAAACGATGGTCTGCAAATGGCAGTTATTAGCCAGCTCAAGTTTGATTTCCATCGGGCAAATCATTGGCATTATTCAAACCCGAACTCGAGTGAATGGAGGGGGGTAAATGATTCCGAGCAAATCATTGTGCTGAGCGGCATTAACAGTTGGTTATGTATACTTAAGTATATGCCTTGGGCTAGCTTGGGATGTCCAGGCTGCTATGGCCACTCCCTCTTCCGCTACTCTTGCTCCTACTCCTGCTCATTGTCAGACTATTGGAATGTCTCGACATTTCGCGCAAATGCCAAAAGTACAAGGCGGCCGAGGCGTTCTCCAACAATGCGGTGGCAGCAGCCCCAGGGCACATCATTAAAATGTCGATACCAAGCAAATCACACGCCCGCCGCCAGCGAGAAGGATAACAACCAAGAAAATATCAACCCGGGTGCGTTTGTTGCACTGCGGTGGTTGTGTGGAGTGAGTATTGGTTGGTATTAGGGCGTAGCCCAGTGCAATATGAGCCTCTGGCATTTAACAAAAATGAGAAGAAAAAAGTGCGGAATATGGCAGAAAAATGAAAAAATAAAATGGAAAACTGAAAAAACAGAAAAAGAGTGCAAAATTCAATTGAATTTACTTCGCCAGACGTTGCACACACTACTGGGCTCAACTAGCATTTAATGCATTGGCAGTGCGGCATGCGTGGTTGTGGTGCACTCCTGCCCCAACACCACCACCACCACCTCCACCACCATCCTTTTGTGACCCCTGAACTCCGCCTGTGATGCCCACCATTATTGTGGTTGAGCGGATGACGAAAGGTGGCCGAGAGGGTATCAGGCCTTTTGGCCAATGTGGATGAGAATGAGGGTCGTGGGAGGAAGGCTGGTAGTGCGGCGGCATATACACAATGCTGTTGCGTTATCATTAAAAGCGAACAAAAATGCGGCAAAAGAAAATAGAAGCAAACAGCAATGAGCAACAGCAACATCAGCCAGTGCAAAAACAACAATAAAAAGCAAACCACAAAAGGCTAGTACCACCCAGTTGGAGTCGCCTCTTGTTTTCTATACCCTTGCAAAGGTTCCCTTCAACTCGGTGAATATTTATAAAATCCTCATGATAAAGTAGTTATTTTTCTTATAAAATGCAGGTTACAACCTCTGTCGTCAAAACTTGTCATTATTTTGAGTTAAACATCATGCTTGCCTTTCAGTTGATATAATAAATAATGAATATAATAAATTATCTGTAATACAACTTCTCTTTATGTACAGTAGTTTCCAAAAGTTTTTGAATACATAAATATGTTATTAGGAGTGTAGAGTATTTAACATTCGACTTGATGAAGTTTGCATAAAATACTTTTATTGAGGTACTTTGCATAAAATTCAAGCCAGGCCTAGTTTCGGAGAATTATGGGTAGCACCACTGACACGACCTTCTAAAATCTCAACGCCGTTTTAAATTAAGAGATTATATGTAATCTTTAGATAAGCAAAGATAAATAGGTGTTGGAAATCAGTGCATAAATTGTGTTAGTTTTATAAAAAAGTATTACTTTCTGTTTAGTGTAGCATACTTATAAGGGCAAGTTGGGAACATGTAAAAAATTGTGAGAGGATGTTTTTAATCATCTGTTAACAATGCATTTGTTGTATTCTAATTAATTATTTCTTAATATTTTCGAAAAGAAGTAACAGAAATTCGAGCTTATTTTTTGCAGTCCTGAAACTTTGTTGTGTTTCTGTTTTTAAGTAGGCCCGGAAAAGTTATGCCTTTTCGCCTGGTGGGCTGCCTAAAAAATGTGCAGCATGCACCTCCCGTTAGTGGGTGTTCGTATCACTAAAAGCGGCACCACCATTTGGCAAAAGGATGAGGAGCACCGCCAACCAGCACCACCAGAAACAGATCCGTAGATCCAGCGGCAGATAATGCAGTGCGGAAAAAGCGCGTGTTTTATTTCCACTTAGCACTCATACAAACGTGCATGTATTGAATGCCTGTTGACGGCTGCTTGGCCCCACCCACCATAACCCCCTGGAGCCAACCCCTCGCCAACGCCCACCATCCGCAGCCGCCCGAGAGAAACAATAACAACGGCAACAAAGCGTCGAGAATCGGAAATGTTGCCGTTGAAACTGAAATGTCGCTACGCTTCTCTCGTTTGTTTGCCGAAAGGATGAGGAGCAGGAGGTGGGGCTGGCTACGCCCATGTAAAGGCTGCTGCTGTCAGTGACTTGCCTGAATTACGATATTGTTATTATTAAATGGATGGGCTGCATGCGAAAGGAAGCTGCAACTGCGACTGACTCCGCTGAATAGAAGATGAGAGAAGGAGGTGGCCCTGGTGGTGATGGAGGTGGAAGTCCTACCGACCGGGAAGACGTCTGCATGCGCTTTGATAGTTGAGTTTTGATCCAGAAAGGCATTTAATGTCTTGTTTTCATATTGCACAAAACAGAGGATACAAAAACAAGCAAGCAGCACTCGCAAGAAGGCATGCAGTTATGTAAATATGAAGGCGACACATCGCGTAGTCAAAGCTGATGAAATGGCACTCCATCCTCGACATGCTCAAAACTCAATTTAATTTGCCCAGGCATTGGCATTTAATGAAATGCACAGCACAACACAACACAAACAAGGCAGCAGCAGCAGCTGCTTTCGAAGGAAGGGGTAGGAGGATCAGGATGCAGGATGCAGGATACGTAGGCGCAGCAATTACGTGCCACTGCATCGGAATTGGAACCCAACCCAGACACTGCTTGCTGTCCTGCAGGCATTTGCATCTTATCGAATCCCCCTGCGCCACCCACGACTTCTCATGCGGCCCGAGGAAAAAGTTCGAAGTCGAAGGAGTCTCGACTCCGGTGAATAGTTTTTAGTTTACAAACATTAAACGCTTTCGTTCTATGCCATCAGCGCATTCTAAGGGAATCTACTTGGTTAAACTTTTACTACAGGCACTTAAACATATTCACCGGTGGATGCTGACCAGTAGAAAAGTCCAGTTTACCTAATTTGCTTAAGCCTTTGAGATACAGACTCCACCATGTGCTCAGAATAAAACTAATTGAGTTTTAAGCGATTAATTCCTCACCTATACTATAATTTAACCTTAACAAAAAGAAACAGTAAATTATTATATTTTTTTGTCTTCCATAAATATGTTATAATATTTCTAAAAAGTTAATAACAGTTACAGTTTTCAATTCTTGGAATTTTATAACCAATCCAGCAATAAAACAATCAAACATGTAACATAACTTCATAATTTGCCAATATTTTGTTGGCAAATAAAAACATTGTCGTAAATTGAGTTGCATTTACTTGATTTCCCCTTTGGCGCACACAAATCGAATTCACCCCACCCCTTAATTTATAGATCAGAACTCCATAAATTGTGCATCCCGAATCCGCTGAAAGGATGGGGTTGGCTTTCAGGGGATTTAAACACTCGCCACGTAATATGCAAACACTCTATTACCGCTGGCAAATTCAAATGCATTCGGCCATAACTCTTATCCTTTATGGACTCGCCAACATCCTCTTTGCCGCTCCGCCCCCTTTGTGATTCCGTTTTCGCCCACAAGTTGGCAACATGTAATCGGCCATAAAAAATTACAACTGTGCATTAACCTCTGGCTGCGGTCACTGGGAACTGGAAAAGGGCAGTGGGCAGAGGGAAATCGAAACGAAACGAATCGAATCGAATGAAGTGGCCCTCGGGGAGGAAAAGGGGAGGAGAGGAATGGCGACGACAAGGACAACATCGTTATTGAACGCTTATCACTACATGCCATCAAATTTTAATGCCGAAAACCCTTTTGGGCCAGAGGACCAGAGTCATTGGGAAAGAAGGAAAAACAGGAGCAGGACATCTAATAAGTGTTGTAAGCGATGCAAACATAATAATTTGTATGACTTCTGAAAGCAGAAACTTGTAATTTTACACAGACTCTGGCCCCGGAAACGATTTTCATCCCCTTTCCCCCAGCATGCTACATCGTGTGTGAGTGTATCCGCTAAAATGCAGGCCAGGCCCAGGACGAAATCCCAGACCCGAAATCAGCCCAGGCAAATCGCTTGCCAAAAATGAAATGCAAGAAAAGCCAAAGAAAATGGACAACGAGAGCTGGCAAAAGAAGGAGAAGGAACACAAGAGCCAAGTCAAATGGACATAGGATAAATAACTACTGAGTTATGGGTGGAACGGCTCCTTGGCCCCTTGGCTGACATCTTCGGATCGGACGCAGAGAGATGCCGAATATCTCCATGTAGCCATCAGCTGGCAGGAGTGGATGTGGATGTGGAGGAAAGTGAACTCGGGCAAAGCCACGCCATTGAATCAAATTTTGCAAATTCTCGGCGACAAAAGACAAGCAGCAGGAGAAGAAGCTGAAACTGAAACAGGAGCATCGATATAGGGGGGTGTCCTGAAATTGAAGGAGATCGCAAGAGGTGGGGCATGTGGAATAGAGCAGTCAAAAGACCAGGGTGCTATCTATGCGTCAACGGGTGGTTAAGATTTTTTGTCGTATTCAATTTCGTTGTTTATGGGCTTTTTTCCGGGACGAGAGAGTAGTGGATGGCCGGGTATCGTTGCTTGATTGAGCTGTTCCAATTGGAAAACGAGAATTTGGCACTTAAATACGTGTCGCTTTTTGATTTCACTTTTACACAGCTCTTCCGCATTTATACAAATTGTTGCCTTCAGTTGGATTATAGCTTTAAGATTCTGTTAAAAATCAAAAAATTTAAAAATCCTCTTTCTGTCAAATTAATATTTCCTAATCAAGATATTCTCTAAAGACCACATTTTTTAGTTTTAACGTTGAATAACATTTTTTATTAGAAACATAGGTTTTTCGATCGTATTTCCATTTTTAACCACAAATGATGAAAAGAATCCTTGGAAAGAGCATCCCTGTTTTCCTTTAAAGGCAGTGGCCTTATATTCTCGTTAGTCTCTTTGACGCCTTTTCTATTTCCGCCAGCGAAAGCTTTTAGCGTCTTACTGGTGTTTTCAACGACGAATACGGGGGAGGATGCGGATGAGAATGCGGATGCGGACGCGGCCTCGGCATTACAAAATAGCTTGAAGACTATTTGTAATTTGCATTCATTGACGCCGTTTTTTATCGCCTGCCACAAGTTGTAACTATGTGTGGGTTGTGGGTGGGCGGTGTGACGTATGCAGGCTAAAAAGAAGTCTGAAATCCCCCACAAAAACACACATATAGGCCACAATGCCGCCCCTCAACGGAGCCGAGATGTCCGGTACATCCTTCCTCGCATCCCCCGCTCGCTTCGAGGATGTGTGATTGCCGTGCGTGTGCTCGGATGTTCGTACCATTTCCGACTTTGCACGTACCTTCATCAAGTTGTCATTCAATTTTTAAATCCATAGCAAGTTTTGTACTTAACATAGTTGTGACAACTTGACAAAGACTAAGGAAGCCGTCGACTGTCGCTCCGTTCCCGGCATTCAAAACTTACAGGCGGATGGAAGTTCTTTTCGTTCCCCCACACTTGTCAGTCTATTATGTGACGGTAGATCTTTAACTTGTGCCCTTAACCATTTACTGGATCCATTTGGGTCGGGAAAAGCGCATCATTTCCACTTGCTAAACAAGTGAACAAATGAGTTTTCTCAAGTTAATTAAAGTTTTTGTGCCTAGATCACATAAGACAATATTGTTCCGGTTAATCAGTGATAGCATTGGTACAAAAATCTCTAATCGGCTTTCATTCATTTATTCTGATAGTTGATACATTAGTTGACATCGATAAATATATAAATCTACATAGAAATTTTACAAAATCATCAAATCAGTCTACATCATTTATATTGATTTCAATGTTGTTAGTAATATGATAATTTTTGGGTGAACCATTTGATCCTTTTTAAATTCCACATTCATTTTGCTAACCGACTGAATACCAAAGAAAACCAAGGACTCGATGAGAATGACTCTGGCGAATCCTTTTTGGGTAACTGGAGCAACTCTTTGGCACCCACTCATCAGCTGACTATTGACCGTCGACCATCGACAATGACTTGTTGCCTTGGCTTTGGCATATTTCTCTTTATCCACATCCGAGTCCTCGTGATTCATCCCACACAGACACATTCCTTCACCCGTTTTCGCTCCCGATTGCTGTCACTCGTCTCGATTCGTTTGCTTTCGTTCCGTTTCGTGGGCTGCATTAATCCGGCGTAATGAGTTGTACGCCATTTTGCGCTAAATTGTTTGGTGAGTGCCTGATAACAATATTTGCACTAATTTGGCATTTTTAAGTGTGCTCCACTGACACTTGATGCGCTTTTAATTGCGCCCAGGCGCTCAAGAGTGCTTGAGAGGAGAGCGAGGGAGATTCAGAGAAAAGTGCGACAAGGGTCGGCTGCTGTGGGTGCTGGAAAATGGGGAAAAGTGGGTGGGGAAAACTCAGGGGAGGATGCGGTGAGATGGCATTGTCTCCTAGTGGCTGTCCTCGTGCGGTTGCCACGTTGTTGCCTCCACTCTTTGTGGCCTGGCATGTGGCAAGAAATGTGAAAGATAAACGATTCATTAGTTGCTGCCGTTGGGAGGCAGGCTGTGCTCCTTCCTCCACCTGACAACCGAAAACAGAAGGAGACAGAGAGACAATAAAAGTTTCGCCAACTGTCGCCTGTTTTTATTACGATTGCAGTTAAAATCTCTTCCTTGATGTCATCGCTCTACAAGGTCTTCTCTCTTTTTATTTCCAGTACGACACCCCTGATTGCACTGGTTCTGGTGGCAACATGCGAGCCCTAAGCGGAGGCTCCACCGCGGAGCTTTTGCAGAAACACTCGATCACTTCCTACCTGGAGCACCACCAGCAGCAGCAACAGCAGCATCAGCTGCAACACAATCTGCTGGACAGATGCAACGACGATGGATTAATATCCTTCATCAATGGTGAGCTTTGATTTTAAATAACGGCTTGAGTGGTTAGATCAAAGGTGACAATAGATGATATGAACGTATGATAATACTATAACAAGGAAATATATTCAAAGTTTTTGTTTTTAACCTCTAAATCAAAAGAGACTAATGAAGGTCTAATTAAAAATATAGTATGTTCTATAATAATAATTTAATACAAATAAAATGTACAAACAATTTATGATAATATCAAAAAAAAAAAGGTTTATCAAATACTATGGATTTAACTTTTACTTTGCTGTCAAAGTCGTTGGACGCAGGAATGTCAGAATCCCACAGAAAACATTTCAATAGTTTTTTACTTTTAGAAGTCGGCACACATAATTCGCATACACTGTCATTATTCTTATTAAGTTAATTTAATCAGACAAGTTACAAGTCGGACTGCCGAGGCGTGGTCCACTGTACAAATTTTCATTTACAATTCGATTTAAAATTGTCACTACTGCAACCAAGAAGCGGAAATTAAATTTTACAGTAGCACTCGAAATTTTAAATATAACAAGCTCCAAATTGTATACGTCTAATAAGTCGCTAAATCGCTGACACAGAGGCAGTCGAAGTTGAAGGCCAGGATTCCATCAGGATTAGCACACCTATGTTGAAAGTCGAGAAGCCATACACGAGAAAGTCGGCGATGGCGGTAGCGCAGGACTCGTTTGAATTTGGCAGCAGTAGCGATGTGAGCTCCACCAGCAGCAGCGACAGCAATTGCAGCAACACAAGCAACACAAGCAACGCAAGCGCCAAGGACCTTGGCAGGCTGACTGCTGGCGTCGGGACCCAGAACTTGGCCCAAGACGGCGATACCAACAGCAATGGCCAGAGCAACATGGACAACACAAACAGCAACTGCAGTACGCTTAATTTATTAGCAGTTTTGTCGAATATTTGCAAAGTGCTTGAGGGGCAATAGTTTTGATTTATCGAGGGCTGGGCAAACTTTACGATAATTGTTGACATTGTACTTACCCCACCATCTTTCTTTTTCTGCCTGCAGATCCAATCACACTGAACGATCTACTCGGCCTGTGCGGCTGTGGTGGGAATGGGGTGGTCGGTATTGGCCAGAGCCCCTCGACATCGTCCACGGCGTTGGTCGGAGAAGTAAGCGGAGGAGGTGGACGAGCTCTAGCTGGTGCAACAACGGGAACGGGAGTAGGAGGAGCAGGAGGATCGGGACCGGGACTGGGATCGGGCCAAGCAGGAGTTGTGGGACAAAGCAGCGCCACGGGCAACAGCCCGGCGGGCAACCCATCCGCCAGCTTCGGTAGCAACGGCAGCAGCAGCGACGTCAACAATCTGCTGCTCGCCAGTGCGGCAGCCGCTGCTGCTGCCGCTGCCGCCGCGGCTGCCGGCGATGGCGTTCAACTGTCCGCCAATGCGGCCGTCTACGCTCCACTGACGCCCAGCTCCACTCAGTCCTCGGCCTCGCCGGGCACCAAGTCCAGTTTTGACTACTTCCAGGTAAGGCCAAATTTCCATTTGGGGCAACTCCCGCCCGGTTGATGCCTGCCCTCGGGTTGTGACCTTCTACTTCTCTCTAACTGCACTCAATTTGCACTAAATTCTCGTAACTTTTTGCTTGTACTCGTATCTATCCCCTCTAAAAATCAACCCGTGTTTCTCGCACGTGGACTGAACCGTCTTATGATTTTCTAACTATTTCCCCACTGTCTCTGTCTCTGTGTGTCAATGGGTGGGTCGAAAAATGAGTAATTGATTTAATTAAAAAGACTGGAGTGTAAAGTGTTTTTGATGTCATGTTGCAAAATAAGATGTTGGCAATTCAATTATTTAATCAATATCCATTGTGCCTATTAAGTGGCATACATACAAATAGATAATACAGAAACTTAAATATGCATAATGTTGATGAACCTTTTGATGACCGATGAACAAATTAAAACAAAACACCTCTTTGGTTTAAAATTCGGTTAATATATCTACCTAGAATATTGAGATGTCTAAAATAAACAATTGAAACATATTTCACAAAGAATCGACCCACTCTGTGTTTTGTCAAATTTAAAATACCCTTGCAGTTATTTTGGATTCCTCCAATCCAATCGAAGCATACGAGAATTCTCTACTACTAAGTAAACTGTAAGGGTATTCGAACTTCGTTTCAGCGAAGTTATCTGTTGTCGTTACCGTTCCTTTCCTCATTTTAATTTATTTGTTTGTTTCCATTCTTTCTTTCTTTTTTGGGTGAATTGGCGAACTTAGTTTGAAAATGTTGCACAAAGTAACCCACTTAAGGCTTTCCAAAGAACAAACATCAGCTTCGATTGCTCTGCACCCTTATCGCCAAGTACGCCTACATCTATTTACAATCGCTCCTTTCACAGTTCACCTTTAGTCAGGTAATAACCAAAATATGATAATGTGCCACTCGCTTCATGTCCTATTTGAACACGGTGATTAATCGAGCTCCAATTGACCCTTGCAGCGACAGCAGCAACTCATCGAGCGGCAACGGCCTATCCTTGGACTCCATCAACATGCTCTACCACCAACAACAACAGCAGCCACAGCCACAGCCGGGTTACACTAACCTGTGTAACTCCACTGGCAGCGGATTAGGACTGAGTCTGGCAAACGCCTCCACGCGCTCCAACTCACCGGAAAGCCAAAACAGCGGCCAGTCGATAAACGAGCCCAACCTTTTGGATATGATTGTAAGTATCTGATATTGCCCTTAGAATGTAAAAATGACAAATAAGGTGGTGAATTATCGTAAAGTTTACATTACGTTTTACACTTGATTAACCATAATTATGGTCGCACAAAAAATAATATGAAAGTATCAAAATATTTTTAACTAAGTCACATTGCATAAAAGTTCAATAGTTTTTAGATTTTTCTATTATTTATAAAAAGTAGGCATAGTCGTAGGATTTTTTTCCCATCACATTTATACGAGCTAATTTTATTCTTCATCCAAATTTTTTGTAATTAATAGACACCAATGGCTAAAGTTTTTTGTAGGGTAAGATCATCTTGATTACCAGTAATTACCACCATTGTGTTTTTGCTAGATAAGTTGTCTTTATATAATAATGTTTGGGGCCCTTAATCTTCCAGAATCTTCTGTCTGTGAATTGCAACAAACTACCATCAATGCAGCAGCAGCAACAGCAACAGCATCACCATCAGCAGCAGCAGCAGCAACAGCAACACCAGCTCCAGCAGCAATACGCCTATCTGAACAGGAACTATGAACAGCAGATGGTCACTAACGGAGGTGGCCAACAGCACTGTTTCGAGCAGAACGGCGTGGGCGTGGGAGCTACCAGCGGAGGAAGCGAGAACTGTCTTAACCACTACACATTGGAAAACCTCGCCAACGTGGACATGGAGCTGGCCAAACTGCAGAATTTGCAGCGTATCAACACGCTGAAACTGCTGCAGACCCACACGCAGCAGATGCCGCTGATCAACCAGCTGCTCCAGAGTTATGCCGGCAGCACCATGGGCAGTGTCGCGGGAAGCAATCTCAATACCCTGATGAGCATGGGAGGATCCGCCAACGGCGGTGTGGGCATGCCAGAAATGACTGCAGGCGGTGGCGGCAGCGGAACTACCAACGATGGCCACCTAGACCGCGTGGCGAAGTTTTACAGGAGTTCGGCGGCCCTGTGCGATGCTACCTGCACTTGGAGTGGACAGCTGCCGCCACGCTCTCACCGCATGCTCAACTATTCTCCCAAGGTCTTCCTCGGCGGTATTCCCTGGGACATCAGTGAGCAGTCGCTCATCCATATCTTCAAGCCGTTTGGATCTATCAAGTGAGATTATATAAAGCGGTCTTATCCTGTTCCTGACTAATTTCAATTTCTGACTTCGACAGAGTGGAGTGGCCCGGCAAGGAGCAGCAGGCTGCACAGCCCAAGGGCTATGTGTACATCATATTCGAATCTGACAAACAGGTTAGGGCCTTGCTGTCGGCTTGTGTGCTTCATGTAGATGACTCTCAGAGCGGGAGCAACTATTTCTTTAAAATCTCTTCGCGTCGCATCAAGTCCAAGGATGTGAGTAGGGATTAATCTTTCAAAAAGCAGCTGATAAATTTGTTCCTATTACTTTTTTACTCATAAGGTCGAGGTTATTCCGTGGATAATAGCCGACTCCAACTTTGTGCGCTCTAGCTCCCAGAAACTAGACCCAACAAAGACTGTATTTGTGGGAGCTCTGCACGGAAAACTGACTGCTGAGGGCTTAGGAAAAATCATGGATGATCTTTTCGACGGCGTGCTTTACGCCGGTATCGATACGGACAAGTACAAGTACCCAATCGGATCGGGTCGTGTAACCTTTAGCAACTTTCGATCCTACATGAAAGCTGTGTCGGCCGCCTTTATTGAAATTCGGACCACAAAGTTCACCAAGAAGGTGCAGGTGGATCCTTACCTGGAGGACGCCTTGTGCTCAATATGCGGAGTGCAACACGGTCCATACTACTGCCGAGAGTTGTCATGCTTCCGGTGAGTTAATAGCGTAAAATTATTACCAAATTAGAATACATTTAATATTTTTAATTGACGACTTGTGAATATTTTTATCATTACAGATACTTTTGCCGCAGCTGCTGGCAGTGGCAGCACAGCTGCGACATTGTCAAGAATCACAAGCCATTGACGCGCAACTCGAAGTCGCAGAGCTTAGTTGGTATCGGACCATCCTCGTCGACCGTTTCGATGGCCTCGTCCCGTCACAGCATTAACGGCGACAACAAAATGGGGCACACCCAGCAACATCAGCAGCAGAAACACCATCAGCCCCAACAACAGTCACAGGCCCACAACCTCAACATGATGGGCAACTCAGGAGCGACCAATGCCGCTGCCACATCGATGTACAACTTTCAGCAGCATCAGCAGCGTCAACACCAAAAGCATCAGCAGCAATTGCAACATCAGTATCAGGCTATCTAGACTGCTACGTCTTTTATCCGCACCGTTTTAACGGATATTTCCGCACTTACTATGTGCGGAATTTTGGACTTTTAAGCAACGTAGAAAAAACGGCGCATATGTTTTCGCAGACAGTTTTCTTGGAGCCGATGGAGACCCGGGCTCATCATCGTCATTATCATTGTGAACACAATTTTATTAATGTGTATATTAGATCGGCTTACACATTGAATTTCCTTTAAGGTAATTAGTGTTAGTCGACTCTGCCATACCGAACACCCTCGGATCAAAACAAAAGACCCCCACATTCATATTTTTTGATAATCATGCTTACATATCAGCATTTGGAGCTGGCATTCGAATGTTAAACGAATGATACATGAAATAAGCTATTTCATTTACCCACACCTCTCATCAACATACTACTCAAGTTACTTTTTGGCTAAGAAAGCTGTTAATAATTTCTAATTTGTACATGTCTAATTTTAAGCGTACGAAACCGCGCGGTAAACGGTGAGGAACTGGAAGAGTCTCGACCAATTTTTCCGCGTAGAGGTTAGGATTACCATTTTTGTTATGTTTTGCGCTATTACTGAGGAATTTTAAGTGGTTTCTTTTTAAATAGCCAAGAACCCAGACACGAGTTAATATATGATTTGGATTGTCCGTTAAGCGTTTATCAGGGAATTTCAATTTTTAAGAAGACATTTTAAAAATTGTAAATTCGTTTAACTCATTTCCCCCCTTTTTGTTACTCATTGAATTGTTACAAACCTGAGTTATATATATTGTTTAGTTTTTGTTTTGGATTAGTTTTAAGCATTATCATTGTTGAACATTAGCGCGATGCCTGATTGATTGTTGAACTTTTTTTAAGGATTTATCTTTCTTTAGCTTTTTTGGCTGTTCCAGTTTTAGAGCTTTCGGGCAATAAGTTTATAATTTATGTCTACCATTATTTTTCATGTATTTTGAGAAAGGATCTCGCTAGCGCTTATTTATCTAGAATACACACATGTATGTATCAACACAACATTACATATTGTACATTACAAGGCTTTATTTAATTTAAAACTTACTCATTTTGTACTCCTAACACGAATAGGGAAGATAGACTAAAAGTACACCTTAAAACCAAATTGATCACGAAAACAAAATCATAACACACTCACACGTATTCACCAACCAAACAAATATATACAAAATCGCTTTTGAATTCGCCTTGGTTTCATTTGGCAACTCTTAATCCAAGCTTAACCCAACTTAATACTAACCTGCGCTTCCCATGCTGATTGTTACTCTTAAGATGCAAACAAAGTTAAAAAACTTAGTCTTATATCAAAAGTTAAATTCAAACGAATTTAGGCATAAAAACAATCAAATTACTTTACCAAGCAACTGAAATACTCCAAAAACCAAAAGCAACCAATGTAATCGAGTAGTTCAGACTTTACGAAACTAACGCGGCAGGTGTTGTGTCATTTTAACGCATTACTCTTAGGCATTAATTGTTTTTAGCATTATGTCGGACATCACACACTCTCACACGCATTACGATGAACCTACAGGGATTTTATGGTAGTCTTCGAAAGGAAAAAAAATATGAAACCAAGTAATTATAACAATAATTGAAGGGAGGAATGTTAGTAGAAGGCTAAAAAGCTGCTGACTAGTTGAATTTGTTTAGTTTTTAATATAGATTTTCGAGGATAAGCAATTTTTAATTAACGAATACGATAACTGTGGAGAGATTGCGGGTCTAGGGTAAACAAGGATGCCTCTTAGTGTAACGGTTTCTGTTGTAGCGCCTACCTAGCTTAGTTTTCTTTGGCCAGGACCAGATTGTTCTCGGGGGAAATTCTGGTCACACGCTGGCCGGTGTATATGTAGCAATAAACCCAAGGCCCACAAATGCTGGACTAGTGCATTGTTACTAACCATTTACGAATACCTAGCTATACTCATACATAATGCCTTCGATTAGGAGAGAGGAGAACCCAAGCAAATCACCCACATAAATCGCTTTAATGCCAACCACAAATCAAAAAGCTTATTGACTACTTTTAATACAATTAAAGTATTGTATATTCCACATCCTTTGCCTACCAAGCCAAATCAGCCTGGAATTTGGTATAAATCATAGTTTGTAAATGGACATCAGGCTCGCGGAGCATAAGAGATGAAAACCAAAAACACCATAACCCCATATATTGCTCAATGAATCGGAATACGAGTGGGGTATTATCAAAAAAACATATATATTTTAAAGGCAAAGTTATGGATGAAGGGCGAAATATCTTAACCTAAGCTAGACAAACTGTACAGACAGATAAAATGGTGCTTTAGCTGAATTATTAGTAATCGTAAGACTTACCTATATAGGAAAACAGAAATGCTCCAACTGCAACAGCAAGAAAAGACCTTATTTCACCTCACTCATTGGACGAATCAAAGATCGTATCTTTTTAAATTAATTTTATAGCCTTAATAATTATTAGGTGGGTGAGGAGGCAGAACCATTATTTTATTGATCAAACCAGCAAAATGTTTAAAATCTATTGGAAACAAAAGGTGTTTTTAGCTCGCAAAATCAAGCTCACATTTCACATACACATACAATAAAATACCCACACTAGCACACAAATATACACGCGTACATATTCGTAAACAATTTTAAATAACTATGAAATTTACCATATTTTTATTAATTAAACGAACAAATGAAGAAATGCCCAGGCAGGGTGACTTTTAAATGGAACTTTTTAAGGCTTTTTCGGCAAGAATCAATTGGCGACTCAATCTCGATCGTATGTTACACCGTTTTACTTTAACGTTTTTAACGCTTTTACAAGCTTAAGAACCAAACAGAACGTGAATTTTAAATTAACACATATGTGTAAAACCAACAGTTTTAAACTTTTCCACACTGGCTTTTCAATTTAATTAAAATAACATTTTTATTTTCTATCGAAATTATATAAAACTAAAAAGCAAGTTAAGGAGATTAAACAAATGTATCACAAATTAAATCCAATATGTGAAGAAACACACAAAATAATGTTTAAACGAAATGTAAAGGAACCAAAATCGAACGCTTCCCACGCAAAACCGATAATATTAAATTTTAGCAAAGTAAAAACAGAAAAAAACTTAAGAAAATATGCAAAGCGTAAATAGGCAACAATACAACATAATTAACAATCCAAAATACATATATTTAAAAAAATTAACATATTTTACTGACGCAAGTCATCTGATTATCTATACGTCTACTTTTAAGTCATTCTACACTATACAGAGTAATTATTTTTAAACTCAGCTAAGGTGCAAAACAATGAGGAAGTTCTATCGAAGAAATATCTTTACTTATGCCGATATCTCTACCACGCATTAACTAACCTATACTGTACTCTAAACTAACTCCATACTACTCGTATTCGAAACCCTATAACAGATATTTTTACTATCGTATTACTGATTGTACTGTCAACTGTATTCAAAGACACAAGCGAACATGTGAGACACTTTTTGGGGGAACATTAGCAAGAACTTTGCAAATTGAATTTTAAACCAACAATATTTGCTCGGCAAATGTGTTAAAGTTAAGCGTAAGCCTAGCGATAAGTATAAGAATGCAATAAGAACGGTTTTTAAAAAGACTATTATACAACCTATATATATACACCAAGGAATATATAATAATAATTCAGAACGGAATACTAAGCTTTTAATGCAATAATCAAATACCACATATACTATATACATACACTAACATATACATATATTTTAATAATTACATGCGGGGCAACCAAAGGCGGATCTTCTGAATCCCTTACTGAGTTAGGTGCCCCGAATTCGTATACTGTTATAGCAGAGAAGGAGATAAAGGATGTTTAGAAGAATATTTAGGAGCGGGCGTCACGCTTCCCTTCATGGAGAGGGAGTAGATGGCAGCCCAACTAATTGATTTTCCCACCTTATATAGGAATATAAACAAAAATTACTGCAGTGCCATTTTAAATAGCTTCCGATAAGAATAAATATATACACATAAAAATATATACATAATACAAGACATAAATTGGTACATAAATACCTAGAACAGTTGGTCTTTAGTTTTTAGAGGTCCATAAACAGGCCTATGATATAATTTTTTGTAAGATAACTGTAGTCGATTTTAAACGCATATACAGTTTTCTTATAAAAAAAGATTAGGTCCTAAATTGGAGGTCCGCCTTTAAACTCCTGACCCTGTTCATGCAATATAAATAAATAAAAATATAGATATATACCTATTTATGTACTAATAATTATTATATATTGTTATGAGCAAAAGTTCAAATTGCATTATGGTTATAACAAACACGGATAAACACTCACACAACAACAAAAGCAAATGGAACAAAGTTGAACATATTTTGAGTGCATGAAAATTTTTTGGGAACTTTTTGAGGCTTTTTTTTGCAAATGAAGGAGACACTTTGATCGAATGCGTAATGAAAATGAAGGAAAGGATATTCAAAATAATATGAAAAACAAAAATAAAGCATATAACTCCTGTAGCTAGGTATATTATCAAAAATTAACAAATCCCAAAAAATATCTATATCAAAATACCGAGAATTTTAATGAAACCCGTTACATAAACAGCAAATATAAGGGCTATTAAAAACGATAAACAACTTCATTCATACTTCGTACATCTAAAGAGCTTAACGATGGAAGCAGTCAAGCACAGCAAACTAAAAAAAAAGATAATAACTAATAACTGTTAATATTTACGCGCTTGCTGCAGAAACAAGCAAATAAATTATGTACAATGGAAATATATTTACTAACAAATGTTATTTTTAACCAAAAACCCAAGCGCCTGATCAGGTCCCTCATGTAATCTATAAATCCAACTATTTAAACTGAAACCAAGCATTACAAGTATAATATCAGACATATGAGTATTTTAAATATGCCTAAGAAATATTGTATACAATGACTGCTAAACCGACAAATCGTTCGCGTGAACAACAAATAATATGAATAACTCTGGTAATGAACCCTCGGCAGAGGGCTGACAATATATATGGTAGCGGGAGCCTGTACATTAAGTTAAACATTTTGCTGGCTATGAAGGGCAAAAACAAAGCATATACTGAACTACATGTATCGGAATCTAACAGAACACAATAAAAGAAGTAACAGATAATAAAGGACACACAGACCAAACAACCATCCATGTTTTATCATTATTCAGCGTGTATTTTGTGTTTCTTTGAAGGACTTACTGGCTAAACACATGCGAGTGCCGTACAAAAACTGTTATCGACTAGCTTAAAATTCTGATCAACAAATACGAGTGCAACGATTGCAAACACGGCGGCGCAACTACTTGTTCAGTCTTCTCTTTGCAAAGATCTGGTAGATGCCTAAACCGGCGGACAGGGTCCCAATAGCCCCCACCTGAAAAGTGGACAGTTTGCCGCCCCACAAATATCCCTTGGGTAGCGTGCTAACTGCGTGTACAAAGTCGAGGGAGATGCGGGCAATGGACACCATCTCCAGGCGGTGCTTTGTAATGGTTTTGACGTCCAGGCTGTGAATTCAGATGGTTTGTTAGTCGGAGCTTTAAGGGGAATGTACCTCGGGTGGTTACTCACTCGTTTATATTGGTGGTGCGGTTAAGTTTGTCCTGGTTTAGTGAAAAATTTCGCATTGTCCTGAAATTGAATGTAAGTATTGGGAATATTTGCTGGTTTTCTGGTTGTCTTACCTCATGAGGTTCAGGTACACAGACAGAACCCAGAATATGGAGTTCACATTGTCCCAGCTGTCGGCATTCTTGACATCCACAATCTTGTGCTCGGCCAGCCAGCATACTTTTTCGATGGGATAATAAAGCAGGTCCACGATGTTGGCTGTCACACCCAGTACAGCCATTATGCGATCGGGCTCATTTTCACCCAAGCCATACTCCAAAGCATACTGGATCATGGGAATGTCGTCGATAAGGCGCAGGGTGGCTCTCGCACCTGAGATCTTCGAGCTTGCAGTGGCGTAACGCTTAGCCAGATCCGGATTCCGCTTGGCATGGTATCCAGCCACCAGTTTGGCACTGTAGCACAGTGCCTTCATCACCTGAGCAAAGGGAAAAATCAGTTATTTAAATTCATATTTACTCAGTGCAATATTTTTACAAGTTCTGCGCATTAAGTTGAGCCAAGTGTTTATTTGATCACGAGAGCTTGCACCTCTGTTTACCTTTTTACCTGACCCCAATCGCCACTCAGCCCTGCAATTTGTGGAATTGCTTGGTTGTCACAAACAGATAAAATACTATCAGTGATAAAAAGAACACAGCGAATGCCACAATCATCTCGTTTAACGGCTGGCAGGAGAGTGCTCCTGGTGGTTCCGCTGCCAGGATGGGTTTGGGGTGCTTCCATTGTTTTACCATTAATAGTCCAATTTGTTTGATTTGCCATCAATGAATTAGTAATGCGATGAGCACGCAAACTCATTTTGGGTACCGAAAGTTTAGTTGCACAAATTTCATTATCAAACTTTAACAAATTTATTTATATCGACAAAGGTTTTTTAGTGGTCCTGTCTCATTTTAATGACAATTAAAATATATGTTTTATGACATTAAAAAACAAAAAATATTTTTTTTGATTAATAAATAAGATGAATAATAAAATATGGGTAATAAAATAAAATAAATAATAAAATAGTATTAAAAAATTGGTAAGATATTGCTATCTGATTTGATCGGCTTATAATGTACGCTGTACATACAAGAAAAATATTTTCAGATTGTCATTTAGACTAGGCAACATTTAATAAAGAGGACGATAAGGTCGGAAAATACTATATTAAGACAATATTTTGAATAAATATTAACTTCTCTGAATGTCTAACGTCACAGTTCAATATTAAGAGCCCACGCAAGGGTGTAAAACCCCTCCTTAAATGGAAGTAAAATGAGTGTTTCCAAATGGATTGCGTGTTTCCAGATGGGTATACCAAACAAACCTTTCGTTCAAAACGTATTATCCGCTTTATCTGGCATCGGGTTAAGGGTTTGCCGGCTATAGTATTAAGCATTATCTTGACTCGATTGCCGCCAAACCGCGACTGATAAGCGAAAACCAAAGTAATTCATTGCGAATGCGAAAGAAGTAAGGCAAGGTCCAAACGGCCGAGACTTCCTCGTCCAAGACCCCCAGTCCAATGCCAACTTCAATATGCGACAACACCGCGCAAACCTGTTGGTTCGCTTTCAATTTCGATCGAGCCCCTCAATGGACCAGTCCGAAACAACTCGTCAATATGCCACGATGCATTTTTTAATTTTAGCATATTTGGAAAAACACTCGGCGAAGAACGTAAACAAACAGGTGTGCGGGAAATTAATTGAAAATTTAATTGAAAGTTGGGGGTGTATTTTTATGTTACCTTATCTCGACCGCCATAGGAGTCGATAATATCACAGAACTCGTTAACAAACTTTGTTGTACTGCCCATAATTTCTCGCTTTAAACAGGTACCGTTTTATATCAGGCTAAAACTTGAACTGAAACACGGCAGCAAAACACAAGAAATTGTCAATAGCGGGCGGGGAAACAACAATAAGCAGCTGAAGTCCATCAGTGTTGCCAACTGCTGATCAAGGTAGCTAAATCATTATGCTATAAAAAAGCTATGGTAAATGTTGACTAAACAAATCATTAGGTATACTTTACATCTAGATTTTTTATAAAAGCAATTAATGCTTGTACGACTAGCATTATAAATAATATGTAACGCTTAAGTCTTAACTTTTAATTTATGTGATATATATATAGTATTAGCATATCGTGGGACACTAGTTTCTTAGTCTTATTTAGGAAAATGTCAAAAATAATTTTAGCAGTGCTTACCTTCTTGATAAAGATTACTGAACTAATTTTATTTAACCTCTTAAATTTGTAAAATAATTTGCATTATTATACCATTATTAAATTTACCAAAAAGCAACAAAACTCCTGTTGACCCCTTTTCTTAGCTAGATTAATAACCACGCTGCCTGCACTGGAGAAAACAAATGAACAGCTGTTGCAGCCGCTTAAAAACGATTAGTATCGATAGGCACCCAGGCCCACCGGCGCTGCCCAGCACTGTAGTCGGACGCTGCAGCTATCGGACGCACTGCAGGACAGGATCAGGATACGGAGACGGCGAGAATAACACGCTACCATGAGCTTGCCCAGCAGCCACGCCCACGCAGCGTCGCCCGTCTACAGCAACAGCAATAGCAACAATAACAGCAAGTCGAGTGCGGGCAACAAAAAGACCTCCTCGAAAAACGATTTGCTGCGCTGCGCCGTTGGACTTGTGTTGAAGCAGAAAAACTACGTGGTGAGTGAAGGTTCTTCACATATTCTAGTCCTCAGTGTTTTCTAATCTTTAAATCCACTTAATCCCCCAGAGCAACGAAAGATTTCGCCGCTCGGACTTCCTACTGCTGCAGAATAAACAGCAATTCGCGGTAAACAAAATGCTGGACACGGATTTGCATGGCGGGAATAGCTTCACCTACTCCAATGTCCAAGTGATCAACAGCAATCAGCACACGGTTGACCAGCAGTTTGGTCGCTTCTCGCAATTTGTTGAGGCCCAGGCGGAACCGCTGCGTCTCGAGATGAAGCGCTTCTATGGACCCATGTTGTGCCACTTCTATCTGGATATGCTTAAGGCTCGCGAACCGAGGGGTGCTGTGGAACTGCTGCGTAAATATGCCCATTTAGTGGCCCCCGTGGATCTGTACGATGCACCACCGCCCACCAAGATCAACGGCTGCTCCACCGCCGCCACAGACTCCACCTTTCACATACGCTTCGCCCGAGAAGCCCAAGACACTGGGGACACTGAACTGGACTACTTTATGCGAATGGTGCAAACACTGAGCGGTTATACACGGCTGGAGGCAGCCGAGACGGACGACACAGTGGCCCACTTTCGCTCCTCGAAGTACGAACTTCACACCACGGCACAGGTGGTGGAAAGGATATGCACCTATCTCCAGCGGCGTGGTCATGTTTTGATTATGAACCTGCTTTACACATGGCTTCATGTACACATCGTGGAGAACGAGCAGCGCGCCTTCAGTGAGGATCACCTACTTGGTTTGACGGACGACCTGGAGGGTGAGGAAACGGAGGAGGAGGTGGTTACCAAACCAACAGTATCTAACCGTGGAGACATTAGGCCCGGCAAGTCCTTGACCGAAAAGTCCAACAGAAAACGACCCGCGGAAGAGCCAAACATCAAGCTGGAAAACGACATAAAGCAGGAAATCGATGCGGATGAATCTGCGGAGCCTAGCAAATCCCAGCTAAATATAGACGCCTGCTTGGACACCCTCAAGTCAGCCACAGAACAGATACTCAAAGCCCAGGTCGAGCTGCCGCGATTTATCAGGATCAGCGAGCGCTCCCGGGGTCTCACCTCCGCCCACATGGATCCCAGTGAGTGCCATCTTTTAGCCGGGTTCGACAACTCTGCCGTGCAGCTGTGGCAGCTGAACCAAAACAGCTGCCGCGGCAGGAGCTTCTACAGACGCTATCCTCAGTCACAGTGTCCTTGGGAGCTGAACAACTGCGTGGAAGAGGAAGAGGAGATGGATAAGGATGAGGAAGACACCAGCGAAAATGTCAAGTGCTCTGAGGAAGAGCGAAGAGAACGCAGCAGAGCCCGTCACGGCAAATATGCTGACAACTCCTAGTAAGTGAATTGCTATATTTTAAAATAGAATTCAAATTATTAGCGTATCCTTTTTTCTCAGTAACGAATTCGGCGGTCTACAGCTAAGAGGCCACACGAGAGGCGTCACTGACGTGCGCTTCTCAGCCCACTACCCGCTCATGTACAGTGTGTCCAAGGACTCCACCATGCGGTGCTGGCGAGCGCACAACCTCCACTGCGCCGCCATATACAGAAGTCACAACTACCCGATCTGGTGCCTTGACGAAAGTCCAGTGGGCCAGTACGTGGTCACGGGCTCAAAGGATCTGAGTGCACGCCTCTGGTCGCTGGAGAAGGAACATGCCCTAATCATTTATGCTGGACATACACAAGACGTTGAGGTGGGTTAAGAAGTAGGAAAAGAGCAGTTTATTTCAAATTAATTAATAATTTGTATTCCTCAGTGCGTTTCCTTTCACCCGAATGGCAACTACATAGCCACCGGCTCGGCGGATCACTCAGTACGCCTCTGGTGTGCGACCAGCGGGAAACTGATGCGCGTGTTTGCGGACTGCCGCCAGGCGGTGACCCAGCTGGCCTTCAGTCCGGACGGAAAAATGTTGGCCGCCGCCGGTGAGGAGACCAAGGTGCGCATCTTTGACCTGGCCGCCGGAGCCCAGCTGGCTGAGCTCAAGGATCACTCGGCGAGCATTAGTTCTCTCTCCTGGAGCACGCACGATCAGCATCTGGCCACTGCCTGCACTGATGGCACCTTGCGACTGTGGGACATCAAAAAACTATCGCCCATGGGGTAAGCTACTTAAAGAATAAAACGCAGGATTTTTAGTTAATAATGTGTATTGCTTTTATCCCACAGCGACAACAGTGCTAGTGGCTCCTCCTCGGCTACAACGAATCGTGTACTAACTCTCAATAGTTCCTCCCAACGTTTGGTTGATGTTTTTTACGGGCGCAGCAAGACGCTTTACTGTATCGGCACCTGAATTAAACTGCGGATCGAATGAATTTTCACTTTCTGATGGTTTATGTTTGAAAATAATTTATTTGTAATAAGTCTGTATAATATTACTGTTACTATCGTGTGAAACAACTCGTTTTCTTGTCTTTACTTTTCCCTATACATATTATTAATCCCATCTCTCTAACAATCCGTGATGTCTTCTAACAAGAGTCTGCTCTTTGATAGCTTCGTGGTTTTGTTTCCATTAGCTTACTAATGGAATAAAACGATTTTGATTACAGTGTAATGCCCTTACCTGCATCGCTTATCGGTCACAGCTAAAGAAACTATTTGAAAATGCGTATATGATTTAGATGTAATGACTTATTATTTATAAAAGTATAAAATGTGTAAATATTAAAAGTAGGACGAGTATTAGCATTCAGAATAATCGCTTTTAATATTAAACTTAACTATTTTGAAAATACAAGTTGTTTTAACAAAATAAACTAGAAATATAACAAAATAAGGCGGTGCAGTAAATGTCTTTTTTTTCTTAATAAAATAAGAACATTTCACCGAAAAGTTAAACATTTTCATTACTAAATAAAACAAAATATATATGAAAATAATCGTTTGATCTGATTTAATTAGCGATGCGTTTAAAGACATTTACCTGTGCTTCAATAATTTACGTAATTTGATATAGGTTTGGGCTTAAGTTTTTTTGTAACATACATTTATATACAATTGATTTGCTTGGAACCTCTATGATTTTGGACAGTCGCACAGCCCTCTGAGACAAAGAACATTGAACATTGCTTAAAACTAAAGTTGGAGTGACCGATCTTAAGTTACGTATAATTGACCAATCGAACAACTATTAACCTGAAAATAATCCAATTCCGTAAATCATTTATCTGAGCTCGTTGACGATCCAGCAGCGGGATGCAACCAAAACGTTATCTTATTCAACCTACAATCGTTATCCGGCTTGCTTACGCTTAGGTTCTAGTACAGTATAATGACATGAATAAATAATAAATAGCATGAATATGGTAGGCATGCAGACAGCAGCAGTCGGTTTTCGCAGGGCACTGGGTAACAAAAAGGTCTAGTATCACAGTGTCTCATTTTACAGAACCGAAATTCTCTGCCAAATCAGTTGGAAGGAAATCCTACTGTGAACCTGTGCTCCTGCTGCTGCTTTAGTTGTCGCTGAACAATTTTGAGTATAAGATTGTGGCTATAACATATAAACGCATCTATCGTTTGTGACGCCCTCGCATAAATTGTAAGGTCTTGGCCATTAGTGGGGCTTTTTTGGACCGCGACGGACCAGCACCTGTTGGATATTAAAATATAACAGTTGAATTTATAAAGCAGATGAGTAGCAACTGTTTAAATAAAATGCTGATTGAAAATATTTTGAAGCTTTAGAAATGTATTCTCCCACAATCAGCTTTCATCCCATATACTCACCCACTTGAGCCGCGTCGCGGCCGGCAGACATTACACGCAGTCGGGCATCGCCCACCTTGGCGGCATTGGGCGTCACACTGGACAAAGCGGCTACTCGGGCGGCTGGAGTCGCGATGAGCTTGCCTCTGGTGCCGTATTGCTCCTGCTTTCGCTGCACACTTCGCGGCGGCTTTACCATCGAATCCACGAAGGCCAGCTGAGTCTTGCGCACAGGTGCCTCGCTGATCTTCTGCGATGCCTTGATGCTCTCGGCCAGAATGCTGAGTTTCCGATCCTTCTCCTCTTGACAGCGCTTTAAATAAAATGAGAGTGAACTTAGATGGGGAATCATCGAAAGAATGTAATGCCTACCAGGAACATCTCGCGCCATGTTTCCATCTCCTCACGTCGCTGACTGCGACAGTGGCGTTGGACATGGATCTGCCACAGAACTTCGCTGTCGTCCATCAAATAAGGATTGTACTCCTCGAAGTTCAGCAGCTGTTGGGGCGTGGCGCGCTCTAAGACAGAGCGAAGGACCTCAAAAGGCACGCCACCCGTGTACTCCAGGGCTGAACAAAATGGTATGATTATTCCAAAAAAATGTAATGTAAAATTTAAAAATCTCTTTTTTTTACTAAAAAATTAATTTCGAACTTTCGTAAATTATTGGTAAAAACAGTTTATCAAACAGTGGTTTCTTGATTAAAATAAACGGATTTGAGTGTATTGTTAAGTAATTAAAGGTTTTTTTCCACGAGAGCTTGCTTATTTGATAAACCAACAAAGCCAGCTGAAAACTGTTTTGAGTTCTTACCGTCAATGTTCTTTTGGAGCACTCGTGTGCACAGATCAAAGAGCGAAGGGACTTGCAGTATTTGACCAGTTCTCACGCCTGAATAGATCTTGGTGCTACATGAAAAATAAACTTTTAATGTCTGTTCTAAATAAACAAAAAAAAGAAAGTTATTTTCCCACCGCATTGTTTTTGAGGAGATGCCCTGCGCCAGGGCTTCTGACTCATTAAAGTAACGTGCAGCTTGAGCCCTCTGTGTACCGCCCTGATTAAAGACCACGTCCATCACTGTCTGATTTAAGGGCAAGGGCTTGTAATTGTTGGAAATGGTGGGGAGTTCCAGTGCTATATTTGGATCCAAGGGCTCCAGCTTGGCTGTGGGCGCAAGCAGCTCGGGTTTCTAAAGGGTTTTATTCTTTAACTTATTCTTTATGGGCAATGTGCATTATTTACTTTGGTTGAGGTCGGTCGACTGCTAATGGCAAAGGCCTCTCTGGATGATACAGCCGCTGAGGGTGTCGGTAAAGCTGATGAGGATGGGGCTGTTGCCGGCTTGGCGGTGAACTTGCTCTTGGTGCTGTTGTTGCTTTTTTTGCTGTTCATGGGCATGTTGAGCAGGCCAAGAACATCGTCGAAGTTGGCGCCCATGCTGGAGTCGAAGCCGTCGGCGGAGTCTTCCTCGGATTTCGGTTTAGTTTTTGGTATCTTGGCCTTTTGGGTCTCCTCCTCAGTGCGCTGTGGACTGTGGGAGCGCTTGGATGACTTTGAGGAGGATGACTTGTGTTTGCTCGACTTGTCTTTGGCTGGCTTCTGTTCGCTGTGTGAAGTCTTGTCCTGTGATCGAATACCTGATGAAGATTTCGATTTGCAGGGATCTGGAGGAGAACATACCTTTTCATGCTTGCTCTTGCTGTGATCCATTTTGTGGCCCTCGGATTTACTGCTCTTGTGACTGCTACTGGATTTGATGGAATCCTTTGACTTGTGCTCGCCATTGGTCCTCTTCTCCCTGTGATCTTTGGCCTCCTTGTGACCCTCCTTGTCCTTCTCCCTATCCTTGGACTTGTCGTGGCGGCTGCTCTTGTGCTTCTTATCCGAATCCGACTTGCTCTTGGAGTGACTTTTACTGCTGCTGGTACGCTCATGCCTGGAGCTTTTTGAGGGCTTTGACTTGTGCCTGCTGGTATTCAGATCCTCACCGCTGGATGAGTTGCTGCCCTTGTTCTCCTGGTCAGGATCTTCGTCGCTGGACTTGGACTTGCCCGAGTCCTCTTCGTTCTGACTGGCTGTGGGAGTGGCGGCGATCGAAGGGTCCTCCTCGGCGGCCACCATGGCCTTCCACTTGGACACCAGAGTCTTGGCCGCCACGCCCACTTCGCCATTGAACTTGCGCAGGGCGTTCACCGTCTTGCCAATTCCCGTCTCCTGCAGGTGCTCGAATTTGATGGGCAGATTGAATAGCTTGGTGATGCAGTGCAGCAGCTGTTTGTTTGGAGAGCAGGTAGAAAACAAGGTGATTAAGCCAGCTTAGGCAGGTGCAAACGTGAACGTGAGGGTGAAAGGTCAGCGGTAAAGAAGAGCAAGTTAAAGTCGAGAAAACTGACCTTGGTTGTTAAAGTCTATGTGCAAATTTCACAAGGTTAAGTAAGGTAAGGGTAAGGAAGGTACTTGGGGTTCGGCAAAATATGAGGTTGAGAAATGGGAAAAATAGAGCTGAAGGAATGGAGTTTTCTTATGAGGGGCTGCAAGCAGGGAACTAGCATTATAGCAGAATTGCAGGACGATTAGGATGAGGGCGGCTAGCTCACCCGCTGTTCGTCCTCGCCGTGCTTCTCAATGCTTCGCTGGTAGTGGCGCACCACATCCACCAGATTGCTGGTGGAGGCCATCGTGTCCTCTCTAGATTTTCCACACAAAATGAAATCAGAAAAAAATGGCACGCAGGCAGACTTTGTCGACTTTTCCAGTTCACTTTTTTTTTCTGGCCAAACCAGGTAAACACACGCACACACACAGGCGCAGGCACTCGCGCACACAAACGCGGAAAAGCCTCCTGTTGTGAGGCCTTTTCTTTAAGTTATTTTCACTTGCATTACGGGCTTTAATCACAATTTATTTGGTCTTTTCTTTTCAGAAACTAAATGAGATTTGCTTTTGTCGGCGTGGCGCTTGTCAACACTGGCCGAACAGCTGACAGCCAGAGTTGCTCAACGTGGCATGGCAGTAGGCCCACAAAATTGTTTATACTCAAAGGATAAAACTTAAATATTTAACTTTGTTCATCTTCGAAGCTTCTGCATATTTCTAAGATAAACAAATGGCTCAACTACCTTTCCGCATTTCCTGTTTACGATAGTTTGATAATCGTTATCGTGTATCGATAGTCGGGCACCAGATAATTTCATTTGGCGTCTTTTTGTGTTATTTTGATCTGCAATTCGCGCGTTTATTTATGAGGTCCTGGGATAACCAATCTATATTCCCGAGTGTTCAATATGTCTGACGACGACTGCGATATATTCAGTGCTGCTCGCAAACGGGCTCCAGTGATAGGTGAGCGTAAAACTGGAAAACTACAGGCGTCCTTCTTCATTCTCTATTTCTTTGGCAGCTTTGCCTAGCGATTCCTATAATCCCGGCAATGATTCATTCTCTAAAGAGGTGGATTACGATTTCATAGATGCCAGCCCTAAGAAGTCGAGTAGGACCAGCAAACGAAAGCAATTGGCAGCGCCCCGGGAAAAGACCCAGATAAATGACGTTGGTCCTTCGCCCCCAAAACAGAATAAACTAAATCAAGCAGAGTCGGAAAAGGACGAAGAGGATGGCCCACAACGAGCCTTGACCCCCGTCTCAAAGTTGATTCAGGAGATGGAGCAGAAACATGTCATGAAGGGAGACGCCCGGTTTGTCCTGGACGTAGAACAGAACGAAGCCAAAAAAAGTGACATAGTTCCTGTGGCCAGACGCACTCGCTCCTCTAAAGGCAAGTTGGATACACAGCCCCCCCCTGTGGATATCAGTGTGGTGATGCCCACCAAGGAGAAGACCAAGAAGGGAGGCAGGAAAAAGGCGACAACACAAACAGAGATTAGCGTGGAAACTGTACCCGCATCTGTTGTCTCCTCCTTAGACAGCATTGTGGCCGTAAGTTTTCGGATACGGATGCAGTTATTAGATATTTACATAAGGGATCCTTCAGACTTTCAACAGCAGACGAAAGGCGGTGGCCGAAATAGCCGCCCGCTCTAAGGTGGTGGATAGTATCGACCTGGTATCAGCGGTAGCTCCGCGAGTGGAGGGCTTTGTAAATCTCAACTCGGATGATGAAGGTGAAGCCCCTGCACCCGTGGATGAAGCAAACATCTTTGATAATGATAACCCCACCATAGAAGTAGCACTGTCTTGGTAAGAAATAATGTTACTTAGCTCCTTTAATTAGTAACCATATTAATCGTTTTCAGGGCGGGCGAGATTCAGATCTACAAACTGCGGCAGCACCAAAAGTTTAAGCACATGTTCAAGGAAGTGGCCGAACGCAACGAAGTGGATGAGAATGATATCTCTGTAGATATGTACTACAATTTCATAGGGCCCGACGACACGCCACATAGCATTGGTCTCAAATCCTTTCATACGCTCAGTAAGTGTCATCTGTTTTCACAGAAGTAATTAAATTTAAAAAGAAAACACTTTCTTTCAGGTGGTCATGCAACAAAGTCCAACAATAATAACGACAAAAAGTTGGCTGCCAAAGACGAAAACAATCCACAAGCCCTATCCCGGAAACCCAAAAAATTCCAACTTAAAGTCCAAGCTGATAAATGGAAACACCCTATGGTTATGCCTATGAAGAAAAAAGATAACTTCAAAATGTTATACATCAAGTGTGCTGAAGAGCTAAACTGTGATGCTCGCCTCATAAAATTATTGTAGGTATCAACAGCTTACGAATGTAAAGTCAATTTATTGAATTTCCTTACAGTTTCGATGGCGAACTCTTGGATCCGGAGGATACGCCCAAAAACCAGGATATGGAGGGCAATGAACTGATTGATCTTCAAATAAAGTCCTAATTTTTAAGCAAGTTTTAAGTTCTCCAAAAAATACTCTTAAATTGTTTATAGTTAATCACTCATTGCTGTGCAAAATCTGAAATTTTATTTGTTTAATATGAAGATGTTCTGTGTATAAATGCGTTAAATGTAGTTATATTTATTAAGAGAATATTGTAATTTTAGACCCATGATAAAGGATTTATAGGTCTAGGGGGAATTCATAATATCGGCTTACTATGTACTAGATCTAAAGAATAGCCATACATAAAATTTCTTTCTGCTTTTCATAAAGAATGATAGGATGCTTACGAAATGCCCTGCATATAGAGGTTTTTTAATAAATTATCGGGAAAGGAAAGAGTTTCAGTTTTCAGTTTACATTTCATTGTTCTTAATTTATATTCAAATTTTAACTTTTATTTAAACTTATACTAAGATGTTTTAATGAAAAATAAGTTCGGTTTACCTTAATTTGTTAAACTTTTGTTTGTCATTTTTTTGACGGGGTCATAGTGGTTTTAAAGATTTTTGTCTCAAGTCTAAAGAAGTGTATTCCCACTTCGACTTGACTCCAATATGTCACCAAGTAGAGCAGCGTGCAACTTCCAAAAACCCTCAAGCATTCATTATACACCCCTAATATTTTGTTTATCTAGCATATAGCGCACTCACACAGAGCTAGAAACAGATCCCAAATGGTTGTTTATATTGACAGGACGAGAGCGGATGCTGCTGTGGAGTTTTCCCATTTGCGGGGGGGTGGTTTTGGATGGCGGAGAAAGTGTGGGGTGGGTGGAAAAGTTGTCTCCTTCCACCGGCTTTTCTCTACTCTCTCGCTGCACACTCTCTTTTCGTTATCCTTGTGCAATTTCCCTTGGAATTTCACTGCAAAAATTCTGACACAGCAGGACAATCGCTCTCTGTTAAAAAAGAGTGGAAAGCTCTAGTGGGAAAAGCTCTCGCCAAATAAAGGGAATTTCCTCTATTCGCTTGCTTTTCAATCAGAAAGAGTTTATCCTTCGTGCTTGATGGACGCATATAATTCGCGCTGCTTCTATATACCAAAGAAAAATTAAAAAGTCATTTTCAATCGCCTAAAACTCCTTGTTATGGTCTTCGTTTGTTTTCCAATTTGTTTAACCCCGATTCCGCCGCTCGTTGTGTGTTTGTGTCGAAAGGAATAATTAAGTGAAACGGCAACCAACCAATATTATATAGTATACAAAAGTGCTTCTCTATTTGGCGCCTAAAAACAGAAGGATACTCGTGGCTTCAATCATCAGCTCTAGGTAAAACATGCTCTGACTTGTGTTGTTTGTATATCTGCATTGTACAGACATCCCGAGTCCTCGGAGTTATTTGTTCACCCCATCCAGGCCAATCGTCCAGGACATCCAGAACATCCATCCATCCGTTGGCATTGACAGTGACGACTGGCTCTGACAAATGTGTTTGTCATGTTTACCTTGTGGCTTAAACAAGTTAATTGCCGTGCGCCAGACACAAAAACCAACAGTACACATGAAACGCAGCCTTCTCCTTCCGGCTGTACATGTGACCATCAATTATTCACCCTGATTGTGAGCATTAAATATTGAAGCTATGTCCTGCTTATGAGCTGGAAGATCGCACAGACCTATGTTGCCCCAGCCTGGTGCTAAAAATAGAACGTGACACCTGCAAAAATGCTGTCCAGTGCGTAGTGCCACCCCTCAAATAGCCACCCAACGTAATGGCCTTGGGCTGGACTTGCTTCAAATGGGACTCTGAGGGCTCTCGATTGAGCACTGATTGTTCAGTCAGCAATCGAATGTGCACCCTTTCACCCCACTCACAGCGTCCACCCACCCAAATGACCTTCAATTTGCCTTGCATATGGGCGAAATTAATAATGCCAGATTCACCCAAAAGCTTTCCACAAAAGCTGCATAAATGCAGCTGCGTAAAAAGGTGGCAGATGAGCAGGATGGGGGGGATGGGGCTGTCATAAAAAATCCGCTTGGCGATTTTTATTTATATTTAGCGCCGTGCGACAGACCGGAAGTAACGTAAAACGTAACAAACGACACATTGGGGCACAATTTGCACACGTGTCGCATACGCAACACTCACACACACACACCTGAATGGCTATTTTTGGCTGCAGTGTCCTTTCGGCCAGGATATGTACACAGAATGTCCGAGAGTTTTTCACTAGCCGCTTCTTTTTCGGCTGCTTTATATGCAATGGGCGCAACAAGCAAAAACGAAATCACAAAACAAACTGACGCCATTTTGCCATTAATTCCGACCACTTTATGGCCAGGCCAACAAGCAAACTTTCCCCTTTCCGGGATACTCTTTAATTTTGGATAGCTTAGAATGTGTATGAGACTTCAACATACGTAAACTGTAAACATCTCCTTTTAAAATATTTGATTTAGTAATATGTGTAGATCAAAGCACTTTATGGAATTTCTCTTTTTAGATAATATATAGTTTTCCAATCTGCTTACCAGATATTTGTTTATTCAAATTTTATAAGTTACATTTTAAAAGTGATCCTCCAAAAACCCATTTCCTCACGTTATAAGAAATATATTAAAAAGCGTTCATACACCAAGAAGCAAAAAATATGAATGCCATACCCTGTTCATTTCCATTAAACTTTTATGATAATCATTACAAATCAAATCTACCCCAACATCGATTTAGTAAGGGGCAGAATAAATAGTTTAATATTTTTATTAGATACATTTGATGACAACTTATAGAAACTGATAAGTTTTGCTATGAAGACATTAATTATTTAGGCTTCCCTTTTCACACACTATCCGTAATGGGATAATTAATGCTGTGTAAAATGTCATAATATTAATTTAAAAACCCCCTGAAAGTTTTAGTATACAGTGTCTGTATCGCCTTAATGACTTAATATAATAAGTAAAGTACACTTAGTTGACCTTTCCATTAGCTTATACTTATACTTTGGCAATTGGAATAACATTTAGTTAAAATCAAATTATTTGCTGCCCTTTTATTATGATTGGCCAAGCATTCTATTTTTTATATTTAAGGGAAGAAAAATTAAATGAGCCATGTAATAAAACTTTTGTGCACAACTTGTGGAAGTTCAATTGAAAACATAGTAAAATAATAGCAAAAGCAACCATCATAACTTTCCTCGTTTTATGTTTTACCCTGCATAATTCTACTAGACAATTTTCTTTCGCATAATTTAGGGTATCGGAAAATCGCTGCTTTACTTTCCTTCGGCTTACATATGTATTTCTTTGTTTGCTCTATTCATTTTGGCTTTGCCTTTGTTTTTCGTCCTTTGTGCTTTACTTTGTTGCGCCATGTTTATTTTTGAGTTGGCCCATCCCTCGGAATGGAGGATTTGCTAATGGTAGGAGCGTTTGTGGGCAGTGCTGGTTGCAAGTGCTTCAAATGGCTGAAAGGTTTATGGTCCGTCCAGTTCCCATTTACCAGTTCGCAGTTCGCCCTTCCTATAGTTCTTTATTACGCTGTGTGTTTTACCAACAGCAAACACAATTGCCCTGCCCCGCCTCGACTTTTGTTTCAAGTGCCGCCCCATCAAATGGAGTGGCCATCACTCGGTCTCCGGATCCGCATCCGCATTCGCATTCGCATCCGCGTTTTCCCTGCTCGATTTAACTGGGTCTAGTGCTGGGTCCTAATCCTCAGACCTCTCATACAGAAGCTACACTCCAAAAAAAAAAATATAATTCTATAAAAACTCTTAGTTAAAGTTTTTTAAAGTATACTTTATGTATATCTTAAGCCTAACTGAAGTATTTGTTGAATTAAAATATTGTTATTTTAAAACATTTACTTATATTTTTCTCCGTGTAATTTACTTTTGCTTCACAAGCTTAGTTTTTCTCCACCGCTGGCTTAACATTTTTAATTGTGGTTTGTTTTAATACCAGATGATCTTTAAAAAAGTTACATGGCTAAGAAGTTGTATGTACATAGTTGCGTAACGAAATTGTATTACACAGCACTTAAATGATCAAATTATTTATATATAAAGGTTTTAATATAGATTTCAAGAACATTGGGGCTTTCGGCCCATTTTTCTGAGTGTGCTCGTGCATTGAACTGCTGTGGCGCACCTCTTCGATACTTTCTCGCTGGGAGACCGATGGGATGTCCCTGACCAGGCGTCTCCTTCGACTCCTTCGGCTGCTTTGTGCCCGGTGGATGCCTCTTGCAATTACTGTCGACTAAGCACCAGTCACCCTGAGCTCCCACCCCACCTCACCCACCTCTGGGACAGCTCACATTTGATGTGCATTTGCATTCGTGGCCCTAAGGCTATCGAATGCTTTTTAGCCCACGACATTGTCATTGTTGCAGCTCGGCTTTTTCTTCTATTACTCCTTTTTGCAGGGCCACAAAGGACACTGGAGTGCAGTGGCTATGGAGACGGAGTGGAGTGCGAGGGCTTTTATTAAAGTTTCGTTTTGTTTGCCTGGCCCAACAATGTCCTGGTAGCGACACCCGCCCACAAGTGGCGACATCAGTTGCAGGCCACCACCCTCTCCTCCAACTGCTCCAGTTTATGGTTTTTTTCTAGCCAGTACCGGAAGTTGCAGTCTAACAATAAGTCGAAGAATGCTGAATGCTGGCAGCATTTCAAATATATATGTTTGTACCTATTTCTTATTAATTTTTGTGCAGCCAAGTGGAGTGTGGAACAAGATCCCCTGGCCCAGATGGGTACAGATTCTTAAAAGTATTGTCAAACAGCCATTGTTTGCTTGACATAGATAGGTTTCATTAAACTACTGCTTTTAGAAGTAATATTTCTTGACATCATTATAAAAGCTTTCTAAAAGTCTTAATAATATCTGATTTCGTTGCAAAACAATTTGACTTGATACATTTATTAAAGTACATAACACTTATGTTTAGCACAATTATTATTCTGATTTTATCTGGAGTTACTCTTTTTGTAAGATTATGTCTATGTATCTGTTGAATTCTAAACTTATAAAAAATTTAAATCTCTACTCTTACTTACAGAAGGAAATTAACACCAGGAACTGGACCAATTTTTGACCGAAAAACGAAATCGAACACAACAATCAACTCTACTCACCGACCTTTCTAGTCTTCTACATACCCGTTTACACTCGAAGAACCTTTTTGTAACGACCACTTTTGGACAAACATATCGCTAGGGAAGGACCCGAGAAAGCGGTGGCTCAACCCCGGACCCATCCTCCCAATCCTGCACCATAAAGACAGGATCAGCCAAACACCCCAGGATCACCCAGAAATACCCAGAAAACCGGAACGTGCCACGTGGCAAAGAATCCAAGACGGCGCCACTTAAACCACAAGCCTACAAAATTGGCCGAATGTTATGTTGTGGCTTCTGTTGTGGCAATATGTCGAAGCGCGATTACAAAGTGGCCACCACCGATGGCATAGAGCTGGAGCCCTTGGGCGGCGAAAAGTGCGAGAAGGATAAGGACAAGGACAAGGAGAAGCAGACGAATGGCGTCACTTTCGGTGAGTCTCGCTAAAATAAACACCTGAACATCTGAAATTGCAATTGCCTGGGGCACCGTAAATGATCAAAGGGGTGATATAAACAAGTGCATAATTGCACTTGTGCATAATCCGACGCTCAACGCAATTTAAACTCCTCTTGCCTGCCAATTTTGGGTCGCCCCTCTGGGATTTATGCATCAAGTTGTTTTCTTAATTACACCGAATGCAAAACAAAAGCATTAAAAATGCTTCGTCTTGCAGCCGTTACTCATACGCGTCGTTGGCCAGAGGCAAAGTAAATGAATGTCAGCATCCAACCCTTATTCCTCAGGCAGCCCCCGTTTCCACTTTCGAAATGTTTTTGCATTTCCTTTGCGCCGGCAGCCAAGTTGGCTGAATTTTCCGCCTTGACAGATGTCCACCGGATCCGGCGGGCTGCTCCAACTGGCAAGAAGGCCACCGAATGATAGACGGGCTGGCGGGGGGTCGGTGTCGGTGGCGGTGGCCGGTGGCACAAATGTTCCCGAGTGCACTCTTTAAACTGTCGCCGATTTTCTGAAATTTTACGCTTGCCCGGCGTTTTGCGATGTCGCAAAAATAATCCCCTGGGGCCATTGATTGTGGTAATGGGACTTCAGTTAAGGGTTTGTCTGAAATATCAATTGTGTTTTTTAAGGGCCACAAGGGGGAGGGTGGGGGTGGTGTCATATATTAAAAGAATATTAATATTATTTCTGTTATAAAGGTTAAGGATAAATATTTGGACGGATTAACATGACTCTCATGCCTTTCTATTTCTTAGTAAGGACGAAGACGGTATTTAAGTTTACGCATTTGAATATAAAGGTTTTAATGTGTTTTAATAGAGAAAAAGGTGGTCATTTATTTAATAGTTAGTGAGCCTTTCAAACGATTTTTCTAAGATAAAATAAGATATTACCTATAAGATAAGAAACTCATAAAAGTGCTCTATGTTTTTATGTTTTAAAATGTCCTAATGATGAATATTTCATATAATAATCATATTTAAGCTTGTCATTAATATGGTGAGACAAGTGAAATGCAAGCATATGCAAATCGTGTTGACTTTATCAAGGCGACATATCACTCCACTTGGGCATGCTGTGGGCCAAAGTGGGCCAGTTGCCTTCGCCTTCGGATGTGTCTCCCCACCCTTTCCTCAGCCTCCCCAACGACTCTCTCCTTGGGCCGAGCAAATCAGTGTCACGGGAACAGGACGTGGACGTGTGCTCGTGTCCCAGCTGCCAGTCGAGCAATTAAGGATGCATAAAGTGAAGTAACCACTTGACTCCACGGCAGCCGCAGCGCTGTTTACTTTAACGGAATCCAGTTTAACCTTTATTTGGTGGTCAGCAGAAGAAGACGGTATTTTATGGCGGCATCTGGGAAAGATATCCCCATATTGGCTAACCTTTGGAGGATTAGGATGATAAGAATTGGCTCTGATAACTATTTATACTTAAAAAAAAGTGGGTTAATTTTAAAGCGGTTCAGTAATAACAGGAAGTAAGTTTTTAAAACTATGTAAAATACTTACTTCTAGGTGCTCTGTAGAAATTTAAAAAATACATTTCAAAAATTATATTAAATAATTAATTTCAAAAGATATTGGGCTTATAACGGAATCATAATATTTAAGAACTCTCAAATGTTTTACAATTCCGTTAAAAGCTTTAACCCAATGCGAATTGACATCTTTTTGTAAGGGGATGTCTTTCGAGGCCGACACCCGTCAAAGGGTTAATGGAGGAGCCTCGACGAAGGCGACTGATGTTGATAATTGCAGGATGCGTTGTGTTGATTGCAGGCTGAATGGGCTCGCACACACACGCCGGCACACAAGCACTTGGGCCGGGGCTTGACTCAAATAAAGAAATCCCGCCTATCCTGGACTGCATCAGCGAGATAAAATGGGTCCACAAGAAACAATTGAAGCGGCAAGAGCCTTGCGCTGCATGCCAAAGTGTGACACGGAGCAACCACCTCCTCCGGCCTCCCTTTCCTATATGTGCGGATGAGTGAAAGTAAAGGATACATAGGAATGAAATGTGTTTTTGGGTCAGGCAACTTCAAACTCAACCAGAAAAGTGGAAGCCGGCGAGCAGGAAGAGGGCTCCGCAGGAAGATGGAGCGGATGAGGAGTGCGACTGGCAAATGGAAAATGGAAAATGGGAAACTGACAAGCGGGCGAGCCAAGTCAACCCGTCAAAACGTCAGGGCGAGCAACAATTTATTGTAGCGAAATGGCGCAGGCGAAACACAATTAAATGCAACTACAAAGGACACAAGGATCCCCCCAGCATTTCGCCATCCACCCACAATTCCCACCTCCCACTGGGCGAGTAATTAAATGGAAATGGAAAATATTGCCCGCGGGCCCCTTGGAACACAGCACTCGTACTTGTTGAGGCACTTGAAGCCTTGCCAAGCCGCGTGCATTTGGTTTCATTTGTGCTATATAGCATACCCTTGCCCAGAAGGGCTTCTATATATAGTCTTGGACTACCAGAAAAGCAGGAGGGTCGACATTATGCCAAACTTTGTTTTATGTTGTTCTATTTGTTCTGTTCCTAAGAAAAAATCTCCAACGAACATAACCAAATATGATTGTAAACTTCCGAAGTTTTAATGGGTTATATGGGTACATGTACAAGGATTTGCAACCGCCTGTTTTTATATTTTTAAATTTTAGGACATTAAGGTCATGTTTAACACAAGAATTCGGGCACCAATATTTTTCTCATATTCAATTAAATGTTCACTTGAAAATAATAATGAATACCTTTAATTAAATGTCTCAAATAAGTGGCAGCTTTAATTATATTTTAATCAACCTAAGGGCATTTAAAATTCGTTAAGGAGCTCTTCTACTTATTTTGCTCCAAGAGAGCTGAGCTCAGCTTAACTCGGTTTCTGCACAATTAGTTCGCCACCGTGTTTGATCCGCTTCAGTTAAACCCAATGCCATTCAAATCGATTGCAGAGAAAACCCCACATCCCTTCCCCCAGACCCTTTCATCAGACACTTTAGCTCAACTCTTTTGATTTGCATTATTTGCTCCAGCAATGAGTCCGCAAGTGGCCCTCGAACACGGTCTGCCAATTAATTTAATCATGGCAAATGCCTCAAATTGAGTGTGTAAAGAGGCAGTATGACCTCTGCCCGCCAGTCTGTACTTCTTATCGCTGACCAACGAATTCCATATTTCAAATTATAATTATATAATAAATAAACTATAAAGTGGTCTAGTGAAAATATAAAGAATAAAATAAGTGAACCAAATTCGTTATTGTATAACATTTTGTTTATTTAAGTATACAATAGGTTTTTTGATAAATGCTGTTACAGAGTATTGATTTTTGAATACTAATCGTTAGGTAGCTTGTTGTCATCCGATCGTAAATTAGGACAGTTAAAAGCCTGGGCGAATGAAGGCAGCTTTGTTAATTGATTAAGCATTTCGTTGATAGGCATGTCAGTTAATAGGATGTAATAGCTTTGGGCCAACCTCAAGAAAGAGAGCTGCTTCAGGGTTTTTGTGCTGAAGCTGGGCTGGATTTGTGTAAAATTTGAGTTCGGTGCAAAGTAAGCTTCGTGCACCACATTCAGGGTGATAAGAAAAATTTGATTAATAGCTGTTATCGTTGTATCGCTACTCAAGTGTTTTGAACAGTATATGTTTGGTACATTAAACTGAAAATCGTTAAACATTTTCAGAAAATCAATGTTTTTTTGGATACAACTTGTTGCTTTGTCAATATCTACCATACCTATGACTAATTGAATCCCCAGCTGGGTCATCTTAAATAAGTCATGGCTTTCGAGGTCAAAGGCTAAATTTTCCAATAGATTGTAAGGCACCACGATGATATTTCCAGAGCGTTGAATACGACTAAAGCTGAACAGCAGTTCGTCTTCTTCTTTAAGACCCAGGACCTGCCGAGCCTTTAGAACTGCAGAATCGTAGTCGTCTTCGACGGTAAAGTTTAAGTCCTTATAGAGGTTTGTTACAAACTGACGGTGGTTGACTTCGTTTGGTAGGCCTCCAATTCCAAGGGTCAAACCATTTAAATTTTCTTGAAGGTCCTTAATCTCACTCGTCGTCCAGTTAAGTGAGTTTCTTTCGAGTCGGGTGATTATTTGATGGCGGATCGCTTTAAAAATTGGTTCAACTTGGGACTGGTATTGACTTACTTTTGCGGGACCCAAAATACGCTCCTCATAGAGTAGGTTGGAAGCTAACTGGAGGTAAGCGGTCGTAGATGTGGCACAACTATGAACCCTTTCGATGTCGGGAAAACTTAGCGACATTTCAAAAGCAATATCTAACTCGATAATATTTCGCGTGTCACCCGGGTCAAAGTTTTTAAACAGTTCCTTGAACTCTTGAAAGCTCTCCTGACTCTCAACAACCACAGTGGCACTGGGCGGAACGGTTTGATCGAAATAGAACTCGAGATATTTGCTCAGGGATATCCCATGCTGGATCTCCAGTTCCTGGAGAGTCAATCGTTGCACTGGTTCCATGTAATAAGGGCTTGGCGTCCTTGCCAGACAGATGTTATAGAATCGCTGCATTTTTCCCTCCAGGCTACCCTCCTCAAAGTTCTGATCCTTTAATTCGTCCAACATGGTATTAAACTTTGCACGCGTTGGTGGCTTTATCCATTTGGCGTACTTGGTTGAATAGTTTTGAAAGTTTTGGCAGGGCTCGAGACTTTGATCCATGTAACTAAGCACTTGGTTGAAGAGTGCGACATTGGGATCGGCCCAGGCAAGTTTAAGATCCATGCCAAGTAGCAGCACGCAGCTAATCCAAAAAAAGGGTCTGATTCTCGCCATCGCAACTAGCAAACTAATAAGTCCGTTAGAGATTTTTGCTGTAGAGACCCAAAATACTTGAGAGAATAACCACTGCTTATCAACTAAGACCAACACAATCATTTTGAAACAACAAAGTTCTCTAGAGTAAAACAGACGTCATCATTTAAAAGTC